CGCACCTCAGGCGCTGACACCATCAGCATCCAAGGCTGCACTCTCCACCTCTCAAAGCCAGTCAGGAACCTCGGCGTTTTGTTCGACCCTGAGCTGTCCTTTCTCCCTCACATCCGCACCACAACTGGCACCGCCTTCCATCACCTCCGGAACATCGCCAGACTACGGCATTACCTCACCCCTCACGCTGCTGAAACCCTGGTCCACGCCTTTGTCACCTCAAGGCTGGACTATGGGAACTCTCTCCTCGCCGGCCTTCCCGCCACCTCCCTCCACAAGCTGCAGGTCATTCAGAACTCTGCAGCTCGTGTACTGTCCCGCACCAGGCTTCGGGACCACATCACTCCCACCCTCGCTCGCCTCCACTGGCTCCCCATCCCCCAGAGGATTGATTTCAAGATCCTCATCCTCACCTACAAGGCCATTCACGGCCTTGCTCCCTCCTACCTCTCCAACCTACTATCCCCCTACCTACCTGCCCGTACCCTCCGTTCCTCTGGCTCTGGTCTGCTCCACGTCCCCCGCCCCAACCGCCCTACCATCGGTGGTCGGGCCTTCAGCCTCTCAGCCCCCAGGCTCTGGAACTCCATCCCCCAGTGCCTTCGCCTTGCTTCCTCCCTTTCCTCCTTCAAGGCCGGTCTCAAAACCTTTCTCTTTGACCGTGCCTTCAGCTCCCCTCTCGACTCTCTTCCCCCTCATCGCTCCCTCCCTTCCCTCCCCTCACCCTGACCATTTCCCCCCTCCTTGCTCCCTCCCTTCCCTCCCGTCACCCTGACCATTTCCCCCTCCTCGCTCCCTCCCTTCCCTCCCCTCCCCTGACCATTTCCCCCCTGCTCGGGTCATGACCCAACTGTGCAGCGCCTTGGGACGTCCTCCTGACGTGAAAGGCGCTTTACAAATGGAATCTTGTTGTTGTTGTTGTTGTTGTTGTTACTGATGATGCTGACCAGTTGGATTAGTACCAGAGTTACTGGTGTTTGTAGTAGGGTAACCGAGCAGAGCCAGGAGAGAAGAGATTACTGGTGAAAACAATAGGAACTGGATATGTATTTAGTATGGAGCAGTTACTTGAGCTTTTAGGTAAAGGAATGACTTGAGAAAAGCTAATACCCTGTAGGTCACCTTAATTTCCCAAGTTGCTGGGAGGAGGAAATATTGTTTGTGAAGGGTGAAAGTCAGAGTTGAACATTTGAACAGAGTTGCATTTATATAACTCCCTTCATATTAGAATAATATCTTGGAGTTTTATCAACAGTGTTTTTTGTGAACTGTGGTCTTATAATTAAATTGCCACAGCACCACTTGCACCAGTTTGTATTATTGATAATACTCTTACAGCTGTCTGCAAGTAATGAAATCCATGGAGACATGGATCCTAGCCATGTACACTTCTAATCCTACTTCTGTCACAAACAAGCAGATGCCAGTCGTAGCAGAGAGTCGCTGGGGAAATCAGAATGGTAGGAGCCCTGTTAGATTTATTCAAATATCACAAGGAGATTTTCAATCTTAGTGATGCATACTGCAACTTGGGAATATTGAAATATATTTAAACAAGAATCGCTTCCCTTCGTGTTGATGGTTTTTATTAAGACACTAAATTCTGACGCCGTTCACTCCCCTAGCTCTGCACTTGCTCAAACTCAAATTACCATAATAAAGTAGCTCAAACATCATGATAGCTTTATTACTACCCTGTTCATCCCAACTCATGAATAGCAAAGTGCAGAACAAACTATTTTAAATAAAAGTATAATAAGGCTTTTTTTGGTCAGCAGGGTGTGTGAAACTAAATTAATAATAATAATCCTTGCATTTGATATAGCACCTTATCACATCTATTCTCTTTGGTATTCTACACAGTCACTACACTAAGTAAATCCTGTGAAGGTTTATTCCTGATGTGAAAGACGATATAAAATGAAGGTTTCTTTTATTCTATCCATTTTTACATTAGTGTACCTTCTTCCTATACTTGTCTTTTTTCTACTTCTTTGTAACTTTAAACCCTATTGATTTATTTTTCATTTTGTTTTCTTCTTTGAATTCCCAACCTTTCCAGGGTTAGGGAGGGGGAGAACCAGCCAGGTTTTCAGAGCATTGTCTTTCTACAACACCCTCTACTGGTTGTGCTTGTGTGTGGTAGTTGGGTGAGGAGAGGTCAGGCTCAGCTTTACATCTCCGCTGACTTATACTCACTGTCAAAGCTCACACATGAATAATGGCCACTTGAGGTAGGGTATCAGAGGGCAACCAGCACTCATGAAACCAAAAGAGATGGCCAGGCCAGGAGCAGAGAGACAGATATCAGTGGAGAGAAAATTAGAAATATAATTGGACATCCTAAATTATTAAACAAAAAATGACAATTGTTAATATAGGGGTATCTGGATTCTTTTCAAGCTTTGAAGAAATAGGGAGAGGAATTGAAACATTCAGGTGGAAAAAATTATGGAGGGGAGGGTGGAGGGCGGTGGGGGTAGCAAGGAGATCGAAAGCACGGTTGAAAAGAAGGGTCTTGAGGTGGGTCTTGAAGTTGGCAAGGGAGGGGCGAGATAGAGGGACTGCAGGCTGGAGTTCCAGAGGGTGGGAGCAGATTGGCTGAAGGCCTGCCCGCCAATAGTGGGGCGAGCAAGGCGGGTAACGTAAAGCAGGCCAGAGCTCGCTGAGCGGAGGGAGGGAACAGGATCGTAGCGGGTTAGGAGGTTGTAGATGTAGTGGGGAGCAAGACCGTGGAGGGCTTTGAAGGTGAGGACCAGGATCTTGAACTGTATCCTCTGTGTGATGGGAAGCCAGTGGAGGTGGGCGAGGATGGGGGTGATAGGGTCGCGGAGCCTGATGTGGGAGAGGACACGGGCTGCAGAGTTCTGGATGATCTGCAGCCTGTGGAGGGAGGAGTTGGGGAGGCCGACAAACAGTGAGTTTGCATAGTCGAGCCTCGATGTAATGAAGGCGTGTATGAGGGTTTCGGTGGCCTGTGGTGTGAGACAGTGTCGGAGCCGGGTGACGTTGCGGAGGTGGGGGAAGGCAGAACCTGTCATGGCGCAGATGCTGCAGACTGAGCTATGCTGCTGAGAGCCGTGCTAATTGTGAAGCCAGTATTTAGCAATCACTACATTGACAAAGCACTTTTACCAACAGGCACAGCATATCTAATGATGCCTCAGGGCTACAAGTACAATCTTTCTCTCTGCCAGCTGGCCTGATCTGTCACTTTTCACTTGTGGGCAAGCAGTGTTGAGCTATGCAGCGCTAATTGCAGGCAGTCAGGAGTTACAGTTATTCTGAATTGCAATCCTGATTCAGGAACATAGATGCTTGTCTACACAAACTCCAGGTTGAAAGGCCAATGTCGTAGTTATTTCTGCTTTATCTCCCTTTCATCTTGCAGCACAAACCCAGGAGTCACAGAAATAGCAGAACTGACCTGTTTCAGTCCCTTTGATTTTCATCGCTAGGACTTTCTACAGTTGAATCGTGACAAAGAGTTATGGTCAACTGTAACATGATCGGTGGAAGTGGCTGGGAGGAATTACAGCACCCGAGAGCGTGAGAGAGCTGAAATAACATCAATAGCGATATAGTCATTGAACCACAGTGCTTCAGTGCTTGTGTCATTTCATTTCTGTGTATTAATTCAGCTCGATCGTGCTGTCAGATTCAATAGCTCCAACATACCGGTCGATTCCTTAGCGATTGTCGTGGGCATTCACCATTCAACCAATATAAATATCTAGACAGGATGGGTCTGTAAAGTTAGAGTTCAGCCAATTAAATTAGTCATTAAAATAAGCTGCCTCCGAAAGCCCCCCTCACCCTCAAACAGCCCCCCTCCTCCTCAAACATCCCCCTCCCCCTGAAACACCCCCTCTCCCCCCTGAAGGATTAAAACATCTTGCTGGGTACTTTTCCAGGAACGTGGACAAATATTTGCCAAGTTGCTAACCAGCTCTTGTTTGTAGTGTGTTTGAGTGTTCTACTTCAGGAGGGATTGACTGCCCTCGGAGCAAGTCCAGGATGATATACCAGGATGATGTAGGAATGAAGAGACTTAGCCTCTACAAGGTTATACTGTATTTCTAGGAGCTGAGGAACTTGGGGGGTGGGGGATCTAAAATGTGTGATTTCTTGCGAGATTCCTCAATAGTAAATCTGAGTCATGTTCATGGCAACTCCTGATATCCATGACCTCGGCACAGTGGTTGCACCTCAGGATTTCTTTGTGCTTGAGTTGCCCTGAGAGGGGCATCTGAGTCCATGTAAAAACAAAATGCCTGAAAACTGAATTCAGTCCGTTTACTGTGACCTCGGTTTCCTGGATCTGAATCCAAAATTGTGGCAACCTAACAAAGAAAGAAAGAACATAATACACTACAATTTACATTGTTGGTACCTGTCAAGCCAGGAGGATGTCCCAAAATCATTTACAATGTAAAAACGAGCGCATTATTTCAACAGGCGGAGGTTGTGATGAGTGCAGGGAGTTTGGGATCGGGTGCCTAGTGCCTACCGATACTTTAGGGATGGCTTGTAATTTGCATCATTCGATGAAGCATTCATAAATAGGGTACATGGTAATAACCAGATTAGATAACCAAATTAGATTTGTGAAGCTTGAACGTGGGAATGTCCGAGCATCGGGTACTGTTATCTGCATCGCTGATCATCCCTAATTTATTTCAACTGTAATATGAATGATTTCCGGCTTGTTACTGCTTCATCACTGTCTTTGTCTAGAAATGCTGTACTCTGTCCAGCACCTTGGGATGTCCTCCTGATGCGAAAGACGCTGTACAAATGTAATCTTGTTGTTGTTGTTTGTCTACAAAAAAAGCAGTCAATACACTCCACAGTATATTCTGTGAAGCGTTCTGAGACGTCTCGAAGACGTGATAAGGCGCTATATCAAATGCAAGGGTTATTGTTATTTATTATTACTTCCGATGTGAGAGGCATTGAATCAAATGCAAGGATATTTTTTATTGTTCTTTTATTGCTCTTTGTTGTGAAATGGCTGTTTTTCAGCAGCTCGTGACAGACTGTTGCTTGTCCCTGAGAGGATTTAGGATCATTTTTTTTACACATCGCTTGTGGGCAGCAACCTGCCGGGGGAGATGGTTATTGTATTTACCAAGGCACAGTGTGGAATTAACTCCACGTCTGCAACCAAACCCCAGCTGTTCTCTCTCAATGCACAGAAGTGAAATTAACATGTCCTCAAACACAAAGGCAGCAAGTTCCCGGTTCACCCATCACCAGCCTCCTGGCTAAGGCCACTTCTGTGCCATCTGGCACACTTAGAACAACTGCGAATAACAACAATAATTTTATATTGACATAGCACAATGAGATCCCATTGACCTGGGATGCCTTCACTGATGTCTAATCAGTGGTTAGAGCGAGAGACCTGGGTTCGATTCCCGGCAGGGTGAAACGTCAAAAAGTTTCCTTACTCCGCACGCCTCTGTTTATCTAGCAGTAAATAGGAACTTAGTTATCAGTCAATTGGCGGATCGCTTTTACTGGGCTAATAATCCCTTCAAAAAAAATAATAAATTGGTCACTGAATCTATGACGGTTTGTGGGACGCTGCTGTACGCAATTGGCTGCCGCATTTCGCCCACAAAATATACAGTCAATTCACGTTGCAGTATATTCTGTGAAGCGCTTTGAGACGTTTTGAAGATGTGATAACGCGCTATATCAAATGCAAGGAATATTATTCATTGATATTATTAATTCTCCTGCCTCTTCTCTCTGTTCCTTTGCTTCCTCTCGTCTCTGTTAAACTCTTCAAGATGTTCACTGTACATATTACAGCATAACATTGTTGAAATCCCATATCTTTTTTATCATTGTTGAATCAGTGTGGACTGCTCCCCTTTCAAACGCATTAAAACGTTCTTGTCAAGTCATGTAAATGACTTTATATAAATCATTTTTTTTCTGCACCTTCAATTACATGTCTCGCACTTTGTCTCAAAACACAAGGTAATCGAATTTATAACAAATTTCAAGCATTTGAAATGTCTCCTGTCACAGCAACAGTGGCAGTGGAAGTTAAATACCAAAACAAGTCAAGCTGAAATAGATGTGAAAGCATCAGGGCAAAGCTACTCCCAGCACGTTGCATTATTTATGGTCTGCAGTCATTAAATCAGGAGAAACAAATAAACCTTCCCCCATGTTGCAATAACCAGTAGCAGCGTGCAGCCCACACCGTTAGCAAACCACCTTCTGAACATTGATGTTAATGGGCAATGCATAACGATCATGAAACTACAGAGGTCAACCTCACAGAAGGAGGCCCCTTGATCCATTGTACTTGATGAAAAGTGCTCCACATGAGACAAAAGTTACTTATTTTCTAATCTTGTATTTGGGGATCCAAAATTTAGGAGGAACTACCTACTTCACGCAGAGGCTTGTGGGATTGTGGAACTCGTTGTCTGAAGCGGTGATTGAATCAGATAGTGTAGATGTATTCAAGAGGAAGCTGGACCTTGTGTGAGGGAGAGGGGAATGGAAAGGTTTGGGTGGGTCGGGGGGAGAATAGACCGGTTGGGCCGAGTGGCCTGTTTCTGTGCTGTACAATCTTTGCAAATCTTTGTAGTTTTTTGCTTGTTATGCTCTCATTTTACCAATCGCTGTATTTTAGACACAAGTTCCCCATTCCTTAAACATGCAACTTTCTTTGTAACAGAATGACCTGACTCTGAGAAATGGACAGTGAATGGGCGAGCGCAATGTTTGATTCTATTCATAGAGGAGCCTCGTTCAGGCACAGGCTTCACTTCATTCATGGAACAGCATTTTATTACAGCCACTCAATCTGCAGCGTTCACTCTTTATACTGTTCAAAAAAAAGAGAAGCTTAAGGATAATTTCGCTTGTGTCAACCCCTTGATCTAACATGCACTAGCATTGCTTTATGCTTCTAAAAGAGTGTTGGTTCTTAATAGGATTATTATTATTATAGGCACTTCTGAGTAATTCCTTCACTGGTCAACTTTGATATGGGTTGGTTATAATATAGCTACTTCAGGTCCCCTTTGTTGATATAATCCTATTTGTACTTTCCTGATTACAGTGCGCACACAGTTCTCTCATCTCATTTGTATAATAACGATACCCATACTTTCTTTTTAAAAAAATCTGTGGCAAGAGTTACTTATTTACCAAATCGTGTAATTGTAGTTTTCTGTTTGCTATGCTCTCATTTTCCAATTCTGGTATTTTAGAGATTATTCGCCAAACAATTTGGGCTCTTTTGAGGCGAATCTCAAAAGGCACCCCTTTGATCATGCTTTAGGTCATCTCTCCTTATTATTATTCAGCCTATTGATTTTTCCCATCAAACTCAGAGGCTCACCTCTCCTCCCCCCTCCATCAGCTCTCACCTCCTGGCTCGGATCCCTGAATGTGCATTGGGATGTTGTTCCATTGTATTTGGGATGTTTATTGTATTATATGAATCTCATTTATATTTGATGGTAAATCTGATTATTTTTAAAATGTTAGCAATCCTATTCCCCACAGTTCTAGGCATGTCGGGTTAAATTTATAATAATAATAATCCTTGCATTTGATATAGCACTTTATCACGACTTTGAGATGCCTCAAAGCACTTCACAGAATATACTGTAAAGTGAATTGACTGTATAGTTTCTGGGCAAAACGCAGCAGCCAATTGCGCACAGCAGTGTCCCACAAACAGTAATAACAAATAATCATTTAATGTCATACTGGGAGGACGTCTCAAAGCACTTTGCAGGATTTACTGTAAAATGTAGCTTGTGACTGTTGGAATATCTTAGCAGTTGTGTGAAGATAAAATTAAAACTTTGGTCAAGCTAATGCAACTATTATGGGTCAGTGGCATCCCAGGTCAATGGGATCTCATGAGAAGCTTCATTTGAGTTAATTCCACGGATAGAAATCCCGAAATGATGATTTAAATCGTAAACCTTCTGATTGATCTATAAATGAGATAATACCATACAAATTTACCTTTAACTTCAGGAGAGTGTCCCAAAGTGCTTTGAATACGTTTAGGTCCAATGTAAAATTTCTGGATACCTAAATAAATAAAAGATGAAATTGTTTCCAAAATTTAGACATGCTGCTTAGACTGTTAATAAAGAAACTATTAGCATGGCGCCCTCGTGTGGTTCTTTTTGGTTTTGTTCTCATAAGAACACAAGAATTTGCCACGTGAAAGAAGACCAAGATCCATCTTAAAAAAACAGAAGTCGCTGAGAGCACTCAGCAGGTCAGGCAGCATCTATGGAGAAAGGAAAGTGAGCCAACGTTTCGGGTACACGACCCTTCGTCACTGGGGAGGGAGAGGCTTTTAAGGGCAAACAGAGAGGTGGGAGGTAGGGCAAGGAAGACAAAGGAGACAATGGGATAGAGGACAGGGGATGGTGGGTTAAAGAGGTGTTGATGATGGAAAACAAAGTGGGGGATTGAAACAAAATATGGGGATTAGAGATGTTAATAATGCAAAACAAAGTGGGGGAAAAATTGCAATGGTCACAGAAGAGTGGCTGAGCTGTTATGGTCTGAATGTGTTGAAATCAATATTGAAGACAGAGGGCTGTAAGATCCCTAGAGGACAAATAATAATAATAATAATCCTTGCATTTGATATAGCGCTTTTCACGTTTTCTAGATGTTTCAAAGCGCTTCACAAAATATGCTGTTAAGTGAATTGACTGTATATTTGTGGGCGAAACGCGGCAGCCAATTGCGCACAGCAGTGTCCTGCAAACAGTCGTGGATTGAAAATGACCAATTTATTATTGTTTTTGTTTTTGGAGGGATTATTATTAGGCGTGTGGAGTAAGGAAACTTGCCCAAGGTTTCGCCCTGCCTGGAATTGAACCCAGGTGTCCACTTGCAAGTTGAGTGCTCTAACCACTGAGCTACAGTACTCCATGAGGTGCTGTTCCTCGAGCTTGCGCTGTGGTTACCCTTGCCCAGTGGACTTTTAAAGGAGTCATGTGGCATTACCCAGAAAGATCCCATTAGGGAGATGTACAGTATTTTCTGGTGTCCTCAGTCTCGATGTGGTCCATCTGGTTCGCCTTCCACCATCCTGGCAGTCTCTTGACATGTTGTGTCCCAAACAATATACTGTATCCTGAGATATTATTTTCTAGCAGAAATCTATCTAATTTGTTCTTGAAACAAATGACATATTCTGCTTCCACCATCTCTCTCTCGGGAGCCTGTTCCATAAGTTTACTACTGATTCACTGAAGTAGTGTTTCTGCAGATTTGTTAAGTTTGGGACACTGAAAACATTGGGAATGCATGCTCCAAACTGTACTTATCATACAATCACCTGCTGTGGGTGATTCCCGTGGCTCATTATAAAATAATGCCCCATTCTAAATTTATTACTGCTGCCCGGCAGTGACTTCTGCTGTGGATCAGTGATTTGAGCTGCTGACTGGTAAAATGTGAGTTTACAGCAGGATAATTATAATAATAATCCTTGCATTTGATATAATGCCTTATCACATCTTTGAGACGTCTCAAAGGGCTCCACAGAAAATACTGTAAAACGAATTAACCTCCTGCAAGGAGATATCTGACTATAAGTGGCAAATGCCAGATGTGCTGCCTGGAGATCGAGGATCTGCACAACAGACACTTCCTCTATACGATCCGAGGGAGAGACTGAGGACACCAGAAAATACTGTACATCTCCCTAATAGGATCCTTCTAATTAACGCGACATGGCTCCTTTAAGAGTCCACTGGGCAAAGGTTATACACAACAAATGGTTTACGGTCAGTGCTGAGTTAGCTGACCTGAGGAGGCACATTAGTTAGGGTGTTGCACTTAGTCTCAGCACTGCTGATTAGAAAGTGCATAAAGAGCCTGAGTCCTGTGCTATCTAGCAACTCTTGTTTGATGTTACGTACATGTGGATATCAGCCAACACAGCACTGGGTCAGCTGCAGTTGAATTGCCTACCATCAATGGGAGTCCTGTAGCTCAGTGGTTAGAGCACTCGCCTTGCAAGTGAGAGATCTGGGTTTGATTCCCGGGCAGGGCGAAACGTTGGGCAAGTTTCCTTACTCCCCACGCCTTTGTTTACCTTGCAGTAAGTTGGAACCCAGATGTTCGTCAATTGGCAGATCGGATTTTTGGGAGTAATAATTCCTTAAAAAGAATTGGTCACTGAATCCACGACTGTTTGTGGGACACTGCTGTGCACAATTGGCTGCTGCGTTTTGCCCACAAAACATACAGTCAAATTCACTTTACAGTATATTCTGTGAAGCACTTTGAGACATCTCAAAGATGTATATATCAAATGCAAGAATTATTATTATCATGGACCACATAAAAATAAGGTGATTTTTGAGTCAGGTATCTGAGGGTGTCCAGTGACCCTGGAAACATACCCAATGGAAAGAAAAGGTAGTCATGAACGAAGAGGAGAATATGGGGGAAAAAATTACAAACAGAAATACCAGTTATATGCTGTACTATAGAATACTATATATGTACTGGTAATGCACTGTTTCTTTTTAAGAGTTGTGATAAAGTTAGACACTAAACAACTGAATTTCTCAGTCACATTCACAAAGTAAAGGGGACTGAAAATACTTGCTTATAAATCAGACAACCATCTGTCAACCATCATTGCAGAATAGAGGCGGCCCTTTTTTAAGTGATTTTAAGTGACATGGAATCATCTGCCTCAATCAAACCACAAAGGGATTTCTAGTATGATAAATAAATAATCCTTGGTTTTGATATCGGGTTGAAACATATGCTTTACAATAATTATTGACGTGGATTGTGACTGTATTTGTAGGTGACCACGGCAGTCAATTTACCCACAGCAATACCCCCACAGCAATCAGGAGGTGAACGACCAATTTAATAATAAACTGGACTGTCGCTCAAAGTCCCCAAAAGAGGGCTTGAACCCCAAATCTTCTGACCCCCAAAGGGAAAGTACTACTAATTGATCCAGGCTAATACTGTCCCATGTCAGGACTTGGAATCCACATAGTCTATACGGACACTCAAACACAATGCTGGGGGTGTGCTGTACTCTGGAGGTGCCATTCTTTGCAAGAGACGTTAAACTGAGGTCCCATCTGCCTGTTCGGGTGGTCGTTAAACATCTCATGGTACTGCCCTGGTCAACAATCCCCCAAATAAAATAGATCATTAATTTCTTGCCTGTTTGTGGTTACGTTGCTGTGTGTAAATTTGGCTGACTTGTCCATCTACAAAGTGCACAGTCACTACACTTTACAGTATATATTCTGTGAAGTGCTTTGAAAAGTTTTATTGACTTAAAAGGTGTAATATCAAATACAGAGATTATTTTATTTTGCTGTGTTCTCAGCCTGTAATTGTGCCTCAGGAGTTGGCTAGTGCCTTGGGTTTGGCAATGAAAGCTTGTTGGCTTAGCCTCTTTAGTGGTTCATCTTAAAGCTGCTCAACACTAAGGCTGATCCAGATTAGACCTTTGGCAGCACAAAGTTATAACTTTCCTCAAAATATAAAGCATATACAGAGATAAGTGCAAAGTATTAACACCTTACCTCATGTTCGCTACTGAAAGCCAGACAGAAGCATAAACAAAGAAACGTTTGTAGCACCGTGAGATGTCGCTGGCTATTTCAGAGCTTTAGAGCAAATTATTTGCCTGGAGGGTTTTAATTGAGTTTAGTTTTCAAATGTCAGCTATTATTTCTTGAAATGAATCATCCAGTCCCCTGGGTACCTGTTTCATTTTCTTTTCAGGCTGTTCTGTGTTGACAATCATTGGCCAACCTAAGTTATAATATGTAAAGGATGAATCCCAATGAATAACCGAGGCCCTTAACTGAGCTCGCATGCAGCTTCAGACTTAACCTTAAGTTGCCTGGAACCAGTTCAATAACAAAAACTTTAAACGAGGTCCCGTCTACCTGGTCAAATAGACATCAAAGATCCCATGACACTAGTCAAAAAGAGAAAGGAAATTCTCCCAGTATCCTAGTCAACAATCCCCCAAATAAAATTGGTTGCTCACTTCATTGTTGTTTGTTGAATGCTTGAATGATACTCCTTAGATGAATAATAATAATAATAATAACAATCCTGGCATTTGATATAGCAACTAATCACGTCTTCGAGACATCTCAAAGTGATTCACAGAATACCCTGTAAAGTGAATTGACTGTATATTTTGTGAGCGAAACGCATGCAGCCAATTGAGTATAGTAGTGTCCCACAAACAGTCGAGGATTGAATGACTAATTTATTGTTAGCAATTGGCTCCTGTGTTCATCTACACTACAGCATGCACAGTCATTACACTTGGCAGTGTATCCTGTGAAACACTTTGAGCCGTCCTCCTGATATGAAAAGCGCTTTATCAAATGCAGACATTATTATTATTATTCCAACACGCGCCTGAGCAGAACATTGAAATAATTTGCTTGTGTTCCCTCTGGTCCTGATTTGAAGCAATATGGTAGCTGGTAGTGTAATCCCAGCCTTCCACCTTACCTTATTATCCTGCCAACACTGACACGGCTGTGATCTTCGATGCTTTGTTCAACAAGGGAATCCTGGTAACTTTGAAAGGAGGAGCTTCAATGTTATTAAAGGGACCAATCACACAATGTCGCTGACTGCAAATTGGCTCCTGAGTCCGTCAATGAAAACAAAAGGCACAGACGCTCTTCCAGTTCCCAGAAAGGGTCTTTATTTGAATGCGTCAGATTCATTTTTATTAAGAAATTAAGAAGCGTGACTGCAGTGATGCCATGTCAGAGCTGTGAAGGTCTCAGCATCAATACTGGTTTGTAATTGCTTCAGGGTAGTCATTAGTCTCCACACTACACCTAGTAACAACTCAACCTGTCAGGGCTGTTTTTGTCTGTCTTTAATCTTAGGTTTCTGTCTTTAATCTTAGGTTTCCTTCACTCCGCCACTTTTCCTTCTGATTTTTTCTTTTCCTCTTTAGTTCTTTTCTGAAGGCCAATAACTAACACACACAGTCAAAGCTGACACTCCAATGCAGTGCTGGGGGGGGGGGGTTACACTGCATTATCAGGAGTACCATCCTTCAGCTGCAATGTTAAAACTGAGTCCAATCTGCTTGTTTAGGTAGATGCTAAAGTTCCCACTGTCTGTAAGAGAAGAGAGTTTCTCCCGGTTTCCTGGCCAACAATCAATCCATCAGATAAAATTCTTCTCAGTTCCTTGTGGGACATTGTAGTCCGCAAATTGACTGTAGCTTTCCCTAAAAAATTAGCTAATGATTGCACTTCACAATAAATCCTGTGAAGCGTTTTGAGATCCCTTGATGACATGATAAGGCGCTATATCAAATGCAGGGATGTTTTTTATTACTGGAGTACGATCAAACAAAACGTCCTTTGTCCAAGTGCTTTTTCATCACCTCTACGTCTAGACAGTGAATATTGTCAAGGAATTTGAACATAGGAGCCAAACCAGCTCATTACGGTGTTTTCATTCATGGTCTGAAATCACAACTAGCTTCAGCCTCTTAAGATCATTTGTTTTATAAAGATCATTCAGAACTGTGGAAAAAAAAATTCAAATCGCTTTCTGATCAAGATGTACTGAAAACAGACGTCCAAATTGAGACTGAATTTAAGAATTTTCCACAACTCTGCTCAATCATAAATGTTTAGACTAAATGGACCTATAGGCTAAGACTAGGTAGAATTCCAGACCATAGTGTCCCCACACATACTTCCAGAAGAGGGCGCCATATAGTGCTTATGGTCTTTTTCTCCACTGACCATGTTGAAGGCAATGGCCCAAATCTAGTGCTCCAATGATTATTACCGTAAAAAGTAACTCAGAGCACAACACAAAATGAACCCATGTCTAAGTAACTCAGCCCTAGACCATGCTGTGTGCATTTATACCCTGGGACATCAGGAGGCAGTGGAATAAATATTATCCAGATGACTTTGGTTTACATGTTCAGTCAACTCGGCTGAAGCATATATTAATAATAATAATCCTTGCATTTGATATAGCGCTTTTCACGTCGGGAGGACGTCCCAAAGCGCTTCACAGAACACACTGTAAAGTGAATTGACTGTATATTTGTGGGCGAACGCGGCAGCCAATTGCGCACAGCAATGTCCCACAAACAGTCGTAGATTGAAAATGACCCATTTTATTATTGTTTTTGGTTTTTGGAGGGATTATTATTAGGCTCTGTGTGGAGTAAGGAAACTTGCCCAAGGTTTCGCCCTCTGCCTGGAATTGAACTCAGGTCTCTCACTTGCAAAGCGAGTGCTCTAACCACTGATCTGCAGGACTCCAACTGTATCTGGAACAGAGTAGGAGAGGAAAATCACAAATTATACATTTAATTCACTTTACAGTATATTCTGTGAAGCGCTTTGATACATCTTGAAGACGTGATAAGGCACTATATTAAATGCAAGGATTATTATTGTGCAGAAAGGAAGGTGAACAACCAAACTCAATGTTATATTCAGAGAAGGGAGTTTTAACTGGTATCCGAGCTAACAATCCCCCAATAAAATTGGTCATTCAATTAATATAGTGTGTTTGTAACGAATAACCAATTTTATAGTGTATATCATGTGAAGTGCTTTGAGATGTCCTCTGATGTGGAAGGTGCTATATAAAAGTAAGGAATATTATTATTAATTATTATATATCATGCATGTACATAGATTGCAGGAAGTGATGTCAATAGTGCCCTGATATCCTGGAAGTTGGGCATTTTAACTTTATACCATGGGGTCAGAGACATCGGATCCAGGTGACTTCTTTGTAAAATGTCAGCATTGTAAAACATTTGACTTGTAATACAGACCTATAAATTAGTTCTTACTGCCGAGGAAATTTTTACATGGGCTAAAGTCATGGGAAATACATGAGCTCATTTCTGCAATTAGGATAAATCAAATCCCTGTGTCCTTTGATCAAAGACAATGAAAACTTCTCTAAAGTGAACATTTTTAAGAACGTGGCTTAATGTTTTATTCAAATGTTATTATCAGCCACTAAAACTGTATTTTGAACCATCCGCACATTTTTGATAGAAACCATTCGTAGGTCTATAAATTAGGTTTGAAAAGATGTTAAAGTCCTGCTCAATCTTTCTCCTTATTAAAGTATTCATGAACTCTAAAAGAAATGTGCGTGGGCAACTCATTATAAAGAGAAAAGTTTCGTGAAATGTGGCTTCTTAACTGCCAAACCGTAAAGGTATTGATCTAAATGAACAGAATCAAACACAGGATTAGTTTGCTTTAAACATGGCATGGAAGCCAAATTAATCAATAGCCTTACTGTGAATAAGCTTAAAGTGGCTGTAGCGTCTTGTGTCAGTGATCCACATAAGGGAAATCCCAGGGGAAAGTAAGATTTATTTTACGAAAAACATTTGTATCAGCCTGGCTCAGTAGATAGCACTCCCGCACCCGAATCAGAAGATTGTGGGTTCAAACTCCGCATCGAAACTTTGAACTCGAATATATCTAGGCTGGAGATATCTTGCATTGTTGGAGATGCTATCCTTTGGATAAGGCATTAAACCGAGTTCTTGTTTACCAGGTCAGGTGGACATTTAACAACAACAACAAGATTACATTTATAGAGCGCCTTTCATGTTAGGAGGACATCCCAAGGCGCTGGATACCACAGCATTCTATTTGAGATCCCATGGCACAATTCAAAAAGAAGGAAATTTCTTCTGGTGTCCTGGCTAAAAATCACTTTATGTTCGTCTGTGAGGCATTGATGTGCATCAAACGGCTGCTGTATTTGCCCACAAATGCACACTTTACAGTACATCACGTGTAGCGTTTTGAGACATCTTATGGCCGTAAATGGCACAATATTAAATTCAAGAGTATTTTTTATATCTGAGGCTGAAAAGGTTCTTATTAAGATTTATTCACTTCATTTGCATTATTATTTCCTCAGAATTCAGCTTTGAGTGGAAATTGATCTTTCAAAATCTTTAAACTGTGGTTTACATCAGTGGGCAGCTTCTGTTTGAGCAAGCCTCTATAATTTAATAATAAATCATCGCTAATACGATTACATCATAGAAAAGTGGAAATACAGTAGAAACCTGTTATCTTCACACCAGATAATCGAAAATAAAATCAGTCTGCAATGTCTATTAATGATAATAATAATCCTTGTATTTGATATAGCATCTTATCACGTAGTTGAGACGCCTCAAAGCGCTTCACAGAATATACTGTAAAGTAAATGGGCTGTATATTTTGTGAGCAAAACATGGCAGCCAATTGTGCACAGCAGTGTCCCACAAACAGTCGTGGATTGAGTGACCACATTTTTTTAAAGGGATTTTTACCCCCGGAAACCGGCCCGCCAATCGACAAACGATTGTTTGCTATTATCTGATCCTAATTTGTGTGGAAATTGCACTTTAAACTGTACAGATCCAAGGTACCCTCGGACTAGTGGCAGTTCTAGTACTAGATTGTATCGTTCTATGGCATTACTTGTTGCTGAATCAGAGTAAGCAAACAGAACTTGCTCCATCTGAATTTATTTTCTTTCAAAGCATTGTCATTAAAATGCCACTGAACAATATATTCTGTGAAGCGCTTTGAGATGTTTTGAAGACATGATAAGATCCTATACTAAGTGAAAGGATAATTGAGCTTTGCAGTGTATTATTATTATTAATATCTGCATAATGATGCAGTATTATGCATTGCTGAAAGGCTTAGGAAGGTATAAAAAATGTGCACTGTATTAGAGAGCATCAGAGAGCATCATAGGGTTCCTTCGCTGAAATATATTCATTGTTGTTTTTGACCAAATTGCCTCTCATTATCTCTTCCAGTTCAGTGATCAAGTAAAGTCTGTCAGCTGCTTCAAAGACCTTGTGCAAGCCAACGTTCGAAATAAGAAGGTACTCAAAGATGCAGTTAACCGAATACAAGCAAAAGGGATCACAGACTACAAAAAGGGCTTTGAGTTTGCTTTTGAACAGCTGAAAAATGTAAGTAGCAGAATTGCTGTTCAGTGGAACTAATCAGCCAACCAATGACAACTGCTGTGATATCTCAGGTGCAGTGAGGAGTTCTTCTGGAGTCTTTACCAAGGGATTGCGTGGGTAGCACTCTGTTGAACTGAACTCTGAAATTAGCCTGTGGACTTAGACTATCAGTCTCCATATCATTGGATCACATTTTAACCCTAGCATTTTGCTAATTTACGCTAGTGGAAATGGCCTCTAGAGGCAGCACACTTTCCCAGGAAACGAAATGTTCCTCATCAGATCGTTGCTCCGGGACGCATGAAGGCGCTATATAAATGCACGTTGTTGTTGTTTCTTTAATGGCTGATAATTGATGTTTAGGCAGAGTTGCGTAAAAGGAAAATAACTTGCTGGAGGTTATCTTTACTCATCAAGTACCACAGATGTGTTTTCTTTATGAAATACCTCCTGTTCCCAGGATCCTATGTGCATTAAGGGGTATTGAGAAAACGCAGGGATATCAGATTAAAGGCTCTGCCATGATCTAATAAACTAGAGGATTAGACTTGATGAGCTGAAGAGCCTCTTGCTGTGTCCACAAGTCAATAATAATACAAGTAAACCAGATAATTTGCTTAATACAAAGTCCCATTAACTGAATCACAAAATAAAACCTTGTGGATAACTGTTTCTTTAAGATGAAAAACATTGATTTGTAGGTGTAATGGATCCATTCCTTCCTTGTAGCTCAGCGAATCCAGAGCAAACTGCAATAAGATCATCATGCTATTCACAGATGGTGGAGAGGAAAGAGCCCAGGAAATATTTGCAAAGGACAACAAGGACAAAAAGGTAAATGTTTGTAAACTGTCTGCTTTTAATAACTGAGAGTACATAGCTATTGTCTGGCCATTAAGATTGACGGGGCTGTCGTAAAGAACAAGGGAGCAGTGTTTGAACCCAAAAGATGAATCGGTAAAACAGAATGAAATGTATTGAAACCCAATAGGTGGCACATTTTTCTCTGTTTCTGGAAATCAAATGCATCAATTGAAGATGAACTGAAGAAGGGGAATGAATATTTTTTGGGATCCGATCCAATTTGAGACTTCCTTTAGCAAACCTCCATCTGACTTGCTCCCTTCCTCCCTCTGTTCAAGACTTGTCTCAAAATGTACCTCTTTGATGGCGTTTTCGGACATCTTTCTGATTCCCTCCTCTCCCCCACCTCTCCTTGGCTCACACCCTCAGCTTGGGTGCTCACCCATCTTTGCCAAGAGCTTTGATAAAAAACCTCCCCTGACATGAAAGGCACTATATAAGTGTAAATTGTATTGTAATTGCAATGTATTGTCTGTCAGCTCAAAGGTATCCAAAGATTTTACTGCAATTACAATTGCATTGCAACAGTCCAATATAAAATGTATTATAAAGTCCAATATTGAAATGTTTCCTGAAGGTAGGTGAAAGAGGACAACATTGAAACATCAAATAATTTACATTGAGGTGAAATTTGCAACTTTTTATCTGTTTGATGTGATAATTGACGCCGTGTGTAAGATAACTGTCACTGGTGCTAATTATCACAACAGCAACAACTTCCATTTATACAACTCCCTTCACGTAGGATAGAGTCTCTGAGCGCTCTACAGCATTGGAGCAAGCAAGGGAGAGGGTGGGTTACGCAAAGGCACAGTTGAAGAGATAGGTTTTCAGGTGGGATTTAAAGATAGATAAAGAGGGGAAGTGAATGGATAGAGCCAGGGAATTCAGCCTTGTAGTGCTGACAGAGAGAAGTTACAACCTTTTGGTGTTTGAAACCAAATGGCCGTGAAGAAGTAGCACTCCCTCATGCAGCAAGGTCTCTCACCACCGTACCCAACAGGGCATTCCACATCCTAACCACTCTGAGTGTGAAACAAAATCCTAATCTTCCCTTTACTAACTATCTTCAATTTGGTTAATTCATTAACCAGAATTAATAATTATTCTCCATTAACGATCAAAACCCCTAATAATTTTAATGACCTCTATCACATCTCCTCATTTTTCTCTGTTCCAGATAAAATAGACCCAGTTCCTCTAATCTCTGTTTATAGGTCAAGCCATTCACCCTGGTATCATCCTATTAAATCTCCATCGTCCTGTCTCTATGGCCCTGGCATCCATCCTAAATCCTTCCTAATCGTGTTACAATACTGCAACTGTGACCTAACTAATGATTCATACAAGTTAAGTATTTGGTTTTATATTCTGTATCCCTGTTTATAAAACCTAGAATCCCATTAGCTTTCTCCAGTTATTCAATTTGCAGCTCATAACCACCATAGGTTAATGCATTTATACCAAGGGGACTGGATGGCAAGGATAATGTGGTATAAGGGTTCCTCATTTATTGCAGTTATCTCTCTTCACATTATGAATCAGCAAATAACCCTTTAATTCAGACCAAGCAGTCTTATCTGTCTGCTCATTTACCATTGTGGAGTGCTGTAGCTCAGCGATTAGAGCACTCGCCTCGCAAGCGAGAGACCTGGGTTCGATTCCTGGGAGGGTGAAACGTTGGGCACGTTTCCTGACTCCACAAGCCTCCGTTTACCTAGCAGTAAATAGGAACCCGGTTGTTAGTCGATTGGTGGATCACTTTTCCGGGGATAATAATCCCTCAAAAAAAATAATAATGTGGTCACTCAATCCACGACTGTTTGTGGGACATGGCTGTGTGCAATTGTCTGCCAGTTTCGCCCACAAATATACAGTAAATTCGCTTTACAGTATATTCTGTGAAGCACTTTGAGACTTCTAGAAGCTGTGAAAAGCGCTATATCAAATCCGAGGGTTATTATTATTATAAACTATGCTGACAGTGTGTCTGTTTCTTGTGCGTGCATGCAAAAGTGTATCTAAACTTTCTATTATTATTGAAGACTTCCGCTAAGTTTAGATTTCAGGGAATCTTGTCAAACACAGCTTGCGTTAATGGTCCTGTTAATTAACAAGATACTTGATATGACCTCTCATGAGGAAAAAGACCAAACAAGCGAATGTAACCATTTTTACTGTAATGTTGGAGGGAGAGCCAACAGTGCTACTTTTACCATCAATCTTTTTTTTCTTGTAAACATGATAATCTTAGTAACAAAAATAAACATTGATAATAAGGTATTTGATATTTAAAGCATTCTGTGCACTGGCATTGTCTGGGATTTGGGTAAAACCACAAATTAGTGATCTAACCTTTGGTAATCCGGTTACTTAAAATCTAAAGAAAATGTGCTTCCTAAATCTACATTAATTTAATTACAAAATAATTTATAAGGAAAATATCGTCATTAAAAACTAGAAATTACAAGACTGCTTGTAGATTTATTGTTCTTCATACTCATTTGAGGTTACTTGTGTTGCTGCCTGTTTTAGTTTTTATCCGTTTTATCTTTGATAATACAGCATTACCTCTCCAAATCATCTTCCGTTTGATAACATTGAGGTTTCTAATGTACTTAATCTCTTTTGTTCCATTCAAAAAGTATCCATCCACCTCTCGAAAGTTCCGACCCCTCTGAATAAATTACAACAATATCTTGCATTTATATATAGCGCCTTTCACGCAGGGTAGCACTTTGGTGCGCTAAAAGATAGCATAGTTTGAGAAAATGGAGGTTGCCAAAGGCACAGACAAAGATGAAAGTCTTCAAGTGAGATCAGAAGATGGACAAAGAGGGATCAGAGAGTTTGAGAGGTTGGGGAAGAAGTGGCTGATTTACAGGCTCATCAATGGTACAGCACAGAAGTAAAGGGACGTGCAGAAGGCCTGAGCCAAAGGGTAGAGAAGTATGCTGTGAGCAGGTTGGAGAGTTAAGGAGGTATGATTTGTAGGTGAATGTGAGGATGTTGAAATCATTCTGTTCAGTGACAGTGGAGCTTGGCAAGACCTGGGGTGATGGAGGTGCAGAGTTTGATATGGTTGGTGGAGTTTTTAATCAATCAGACAGCACTCATGAGCAGATATAGTTACAGGAGTAGGTTTCAAACTTTGAGTCAGTTCCCACTGGGTCAGAGACATTGAGAGGACTTGAAATTCTGAAAGATTTTGCGCAGAAAGGAAGTGATAAATTGTTGGTTGATAAATTGGCAACAAGGGACATGAACTTCCGATTGTCACTGGAAGAGCTGAGGGGAAATTCAGAACAAATGTTTTCACATGGAGGATTATCAGAACATGGTATGTTTTACAATAAATATCTTTTGATGTTGAGATCATAAAGGCAATTAAAAGTGAATTGGATAAATATTTCAAGAGAAACAGTGTAAAAGGCTCTGGAGGAAAGAGTAGGCAATTGAGATTAGTTGGATCCAGTGGATAAACAAGATAAACAAGCACCAAATATTAATCATCATAACTGTATACTAAACTTAACTGGAAAAAAATTAACACCTAACACAATTTCAATTAAAAATTTTAAAAAAGAATAAAACACGTAAATTCTACTTGTTTTATTGTCCTGTGTATTCCTTTCCTTTCCCACCCCCTTTTCTCTGTTTTTATTTTTTCTATGAACTTTTCTTATTAATTTTCCCTAATCTAAAGTGCGGATCCCTGATTGTTCAGTGCCTTGGGACGTCCTCCTGACGTGAAAGGTGCTATACAAATGTAATCTGTTGTTGTCATTCGCATCTTTCCAATTGTTTCTTAACTTTCAAATTAGTTTTTCGCCTTATACAGTACAGATTACATTTACATACCGCTTTTCGTATCCGGAGGACTCTCTCAATGCATTCTGAGCAGAGGATAGGACAACAGGACTGCCAGTGGAAAGGACTCTGAGTAAATTGCATTTACAATTCAGATCATTTTAGACACAAGCTGATCATGTCTTGTGATTGCAGATACGAGTATTCACGTTTTCAGTTGGTCAACACAACTATGATAAAGGACCAATACAGTGGATGGCCTGCGCCAATAAAGGTATTCCTTTGATCCTTGTTCCTTTTAGTGTGCTTACACAACAGAAACACTGTACACTTAGAAAATGTTTTAAAAAACTTTCCTTGTTTTTACACTTTCTATCTATCTTCCTTGGCGGGGAGGTAAGTGGGGTCTCCTTGGATCTAAACTGGCTCCAAGGTGACATGATTGTCAATAGAAAGCCAGAATCGAGCCCACCCTATGTGGCGATCTCAATAGACCAGTTCCTGAGCCAGGCGGGTCTGTAGTATTCCAGGGCACTGCTGATGAGAGGACAATCAAGCTGGCTCATTGACAGCACTTGGAAGAGCAGACTTGGGGTAGGGATTCTCCCCACTCAACTCTTGTTAACCCTGCAAGCCAAAGCCCTAATTGGTAGGATGGTCTTAGCTGGACAAGCAACGGGAAAGGTTGTCAGACAGTGCTCTCAATGGCAAGATATGTAGTTTTAGCTGGTTAGACTCCAGCAATACTGCAACCACACTCTGTGGTCCCCAAGCCTTGGCTCTTGCCAACCATAACCTATTACTTTCTGGAATTAGGTTAGCAGGATGCGTCCCTCCAGGGAGAGAGTTCTATTCAAACAAACATCTCTGGAATTTCCTTGTATAAGTGGAATGCCTGGAATTCTGTTCAGTTTGGATGCTTTTAAACATGGTAATGGGTTTCCGAATGGGTCAGAAACCCGACTGACCAAAAATACAACACTTTCTGTTTGCACCAAGTAAATCTCAGTGCATTGTTGGTTGATATGTGTGGTTTTTGTATTACAGGCTACTATTTTGAAATTCCCTCTATTGGAGCAATACGTATTAACACACAGGTAATCTTATTATAACTGCTCACTTTCATTACTCCATCTTGCTGTTTGCTAATTACTCCCCAATTTCATGTGAAATTTAGAATTAAAAGAAAACAAAACTGAATAAGAGGATTAACGTTTCGAATGTCTAAGCAGTTTCTTTCTATAATCACGATCCCCAGCATTCACTGGGACAAAGATTACGTAGAATTACACAGAGCAAAATGACACGGAAACTGATCATTAAGCTCAAGCAGTCCGTGCCTATGTTTGTACTCTTCATGAGTTCTGCCTCCTCCTGTTCACATCATTTATACCTGTCTTTTCCCTTCTCTCTTTTGTATTAATCTATTTTCTCTTCAATACATTGATATTTTTTGCTTCAACCACAACTTCTGAATGTGTTCCATATTCTTACCACCTTCTGGGTGAAGAAGTTCCTCCCAAACTCCCTATTGAATCCATTTATATTCATGCCCGCTTGTTTTGGACTCACCAACAAGTGGAAACAGGCTATCAACATCAACCTTATTGAATCCTTTAATAATCTTAAATGTGTTCATCATGTTCCCTTGAATCAACTCAGATCATGCACTGCACTGAAAACTGTTCATTGTGCCAACAACTTCCTTTACCTCTAACCCACAAAAACAACTGTGTGGTATCGTTGACTTTAATATAATGTTTTTGTTGGTTATGAAAGTGCGACATTTTATATTGTTTGGTACAAATAATGCAGTATAGTTCAAACCTGTATTCATAATGAAACAAGTATTGTCAACACAGATGCAGTCAGCAGTATTTTCATTAGAAACCTAGTTCTGTGTGCATGAGGCCAGTGTTCCTTCACCTCTAGGGCCTGAGTTTGAATCCAACCAGATGCGCAAGATGAAAGTCTCTTATTCCTGTCACTGAGGTTTGTGAAAGAAATTAATTGTGTAGTCTTAACCCAGTTCCTAGTAACTCAAAGGAACTTGTGACACAAGGGCACAGCTCAACAATAATTGTCCTTAATTCAGTAGTAATTGACCTCCGAGGACAAAGGGCACTGGGGTGGCTAGAGCAGGAAATGCAAATGTTACTGTGATAGAGTAGGGATTTCATTTACAGAGGCCTGGAACAAGGTAGAAATAAAATAAATAGAAATAAGAACAAAAACTGTGTTTGCTGGAAACAGATTATAAGTCAATCCTTCAGCAAAGAAAACTCCACATCTTTGGAAGCGTATCTCCTCGGAGATTGCTGTGTGCCAGGATGTTAAATATGAAAGGCAGTAGTTGTGTTGTGATTATTATGATGGAATACATTAACTGCCTGCAATTTTTGATCAGTTACACTGTTTGGATTTGTAGGAATATCTGGATGTACTGGGGAGACCGATGGTTTTAGCTGGTGTAAAGGCAAAACAAGTTCAGTGGACAAACGTGTACCTAGATGCACTGGTAAGATATGAACTAATGTATTTATATGCATAGACTATAACCTATATAAGGAGCATAAAAATACAATGCAACCCCTTTGTAACATGACTTGCTCATCGTGTGGATTCATTTAACATAATGGGGTGTGAATCTAATTCACTCTTGCTAGCTGGATCACTTCCCATGCAGGCACAACAAACAGGAAATTGTGTCGGCAGAGACGTGTTGATCTGGAAATCAGACTTGCTTTGGATTCCCACATGCTAAAAATGACCCGACTTCCAAGTCATCAAGTAACTACTGATGTAATTTCCTGCATTCTCATACACCACATGCAATGAGTGATGGTGGCAGTGAACTGGTGACTTGGAAGTTGACCTCTTTTTAGCTCAGGAGCTGGCTGGTGGGCAGAAAGCAAGACGGATGGTTGTGCAAATGTGCAGTGAAACAGGCTATTGTGGCCTCCATATAAAGTGGTTTGGGATTTTATGGATTTTTACTTGCCTTATACTGAGTCTCTCCTGTGATTCTTTAAAACCTCAATGATGAAATCACCATAGTTTGTGATATGTTTTGATAAGAAATAGGATACCTTGGTTCCACTGGTTTATAAAATCGCATATTTATCAATTCCATCATGTGTTGGAATTCATGGCATTTTCCTACTAAGATTTAATAGAATATAATGTCGAAGGGAATCAGGCCTTCCAATGGAAAGTTTATCCACAGATGTACCCGGGCTTAATTCCCCTGTTATTTTAAGGAAGCAAAAATGTTACATTAATATTACATAAAAAATGAATTTAGAAATAAATTGGGAGGGAAAAACAAAAACCTGAACAAGTCAAAGCCTACTCGATTGTGAGATTTCATATTAATATTACTTTTAATACAGCTGAGAACCATTTTTTTTAGCGCTAAATGAAACCATCCCCTTTGTGTACAAGCAAACATTGCAGATAATTGGACCTCACACAAAATGTAAATTGAATACAGGGCCAACTAGGAATTACACTATCACTTTCTCTATAACTCGCTGACTCTCACGTTTTTCTCTCTTTCTCTCTCCACATTTCTTTCCCTGGATGTCTCTCTAACTTTTTATGTCTCTTTCTCTACCAAATCTCTATCTTACCCTAAACTTTATAATGTATAAATATAAAGATTAATCTTTGCTACTGGCAATGAAACAATCACTGTTCAAGTCAACAAATGTGTGCAAGTAGGGCATGGCTCAGACAGTCCTACATATTCAAATATAAATATGTATATTTATAGGAGCATCTGTTAATAAAATCCAGATTATGATTCTTTTTGCCAATTTGCTTTTCTTATTTTCCTACCATTTGCGTAATCTTAAATGTTAAGACAAAGGTCTTGACCTAATTTTGGGGGGTTTAGTTATTTGGGGCCAGATGTCAACACAAGCCCATTTCCAGCACAGAAGACTTGATGCCAGGACCTTGGTTGCTTTTGTTCCCTTCCAACTGCAGTGCCCCAACTGAAGACTGTCTGAGATCAGGTAATCCAGCCCAGTCCTGCCACATGATCTGCACGGCTCAGTGGCTTACACTGGCAATGCCTTTCCCCACTAGACTTTCGAAGGAGGCAACTTGTGATATTTTTGGCAAATGGCTTATTGCAATATATTTCAGATCCCTTTAGGGATGTCTTAAATATCTTCAAAACTGTTATAAACCAGAACTTTAAAATCTTATTTTGTCCCTCCAAAGAGCTTTAATAAATCTGTTTGACACTTACAATCACTGATGCCAGAAACTTTAGCATTGACGTCCAGTTGTATTTAAATTTTATTTTTTCTTGGAAAGCGAACCATGGTTTATGCACTAAAAAAAACGTATTGATAGCCAATACTTCAATACAGATAGTTGGTAAGAGTAACCATGAGATATATCTACATAACTCAGGAGCAGTTGTCAGTGACTTATGGAGTTCTGCCATTCAAAAGAGCAGGAGCTAAAGTAGCTTCTCAGACTAACAAGAAGTAGGAAATGGTCTTCTGCAGGGATCCATATTAGGCCTACTACTGCTCACCATGTACATAAATTATTTGGCCTCAGATAAGGTTGGTCAAATATGACCTGCCTTTTAGAAATCAATGCTGCTTACTCTGTTATATTCTCCATAGAATTTTACAGCAGAAAGAGGCCACTGAGTCCATCGTGCCTGTGCCGGCTTTTTGAAAGAGCTATTCAATTAGTCTCATTCCCCCGCTCTTTCCCCATAGCCTTGCAAATATTTCCTTTTCAAGTACAGTATATATCCAATTCCCTTTTGAAAGTTATGATTGAGTCTGCTTCCACCACCCTTTCAGGCCGTGCATTCCAGATCGTAACAACTCAACTCGCTGTCTTTAAAACAAAAAATCTTCACCTCCTATATCATCCTTTATGGTAGCCTCTAATACCTTGGTCATACTGGTAATGTTAAAAGTAGCAAAATTCTGAATTTACAATGGGATTTTCTGTCATTATAAAGGGATAAGGAAAGCATAATTAGTTTGAGTGATTGCAGTTTGATAGACCTCAGTATTTAGGAATAGGGAAGGAAGCAGATTTACTTTCATCTCTGGCTGAGAAGATCCCACAGATCTGTCATCTAAGAAAAGGCAATTTGACAGGGCATTTCACAATTTGCTTTCTCTCAAAAAGTAACATTCCCAGTGATTCATTTCCCACAGTATTTCTAGCGGAATTACATGAAAAAATCCTCAATTATTATTTGGAAACGCTTAAAGTTTTTGTCATAGTGTCTCGAATGCTTCATATTATTATATAGCATATTCAATTAATTACTTTGAAATATACTGTGGTAACTTATTATGTGGATGAACATGGCAGTTATAGTGTTGGACCTTGATTCTATGTCTTATCTATAGCAATGCTCCTCTAGCAATACAGCACTCTCTCAGCATTGCCAGAGAGTGGTAACCTGGAGTTTTAAGCTGAATCTCTGCTGTAGGGCTGAAACCCAGATGAGAGGATTGCCAGCTGAGCAAATCTACTTTAAATAAGAAACATTAATGTTGTTTGGTTAGATATTGTGCCATGAGGCCACCAACTGTTTGATCGCTATGTAATAGTCCTTCTTGTTCCAATTTAATATTTATTTCTCCGTCCTTAGGGTAGCATCATAGAAAAATTACAGCACTGGGAGACCATTGTGTCTTTGCTGGTGCTTGTTCCTCAATTTGAGCTACCTACCTACACTAATCACATTTTATGCTCCTTCCTTCAGCATTTATCCAGGTCTATATAAGGTACATATAAAGATCAGATGTAATATTAGCAATATGGTAAGGTTATGTTGCTATCATTAAAAGATGTCCAACCCAGATTATTTGTTTTAGAGAATGTAATTCCTTATATTAGGGAATCAATCCTAGAGGGCTAACTCCCAGATACCTTCCTATCTCCCACACCACATTACCACAGTCTTGACTGAATGCCATGGGGTAATCCAATTGAGATTGCTCATTGATCTTCTCTCCCTTCTACTAGCGAGATGCCAGACTTCTGTCTAGGGCCTTTCTACAGGAGCGATGATGAGAAGGGTGCACTCAGAGGCTGAGAAGAGTGTCCATGTTCCACTGCTTCTTGACATTGTGAATTAGTCCCAAGCTGTGAACACCTTAGTGCTGTCCACAGCGATTATAGAATAGTGCAGCGTGGAATCACTAAAACAGAATGTACTCAGACATTATTCTGCTGAGGAACCTCTAGATCGTATCTCCTGATGTGTGACTTCTGTGGAATCCTCTGCCTAAGTCTGTTTGCAACTCATTTCACTCTAATAAATGATAATCCTTTGCATTGCCTGAATTTGATATAGAGACTTCCGTCAAAACATTTCAAAGCACTTCACAATAGTTACTATTAAGTGTATTTGTTACGCTCTGTATTTGTGGAGTCCTGTAGGTCAGTGGTTAGAGCACTCGCCTCGCAAGCGAGAGACCTGGTTTCGATTACCGGCAGGGCGAAATGTTGGGCAAGTTTCCTTACTCAACATGCCTCTGTTTACGTAGCAGTAAATAATAATTTGTTCAAAACAATAATAAATTGGTCACTTCAATCCACGACTGTTTGTGGGACACTGCTATGCTCAATTAGCTGCCGCGTTTTGCCCACAAAAATATGCAGTTAATTCACTTTACAATATATTCTATGACGCGCTTTGAGATGTCTCAAAGACGTAATAATGCACTATATCAAATGCAAAGATTATTAAATACGGCAGCCAATTGGCACACAGCAATATCCTACAAAAAGCTTTGAGATGAATGACCAATTGACCTGGACGATTGTTGGACAGGACACCGGGGGAAACTCCCTTCCCTTTTCGAACAGCATTATGTTCACCTGAACATGTAGATGGGATATAAGTTTAACGTCTCATCCAAAGGACGGCACCTCTGATGATGCAGCATTCCCCCAATACTGCACTAGGGTGTCAACCTAGACCAGGAGTTCTGACATGGGACTTGAACTCACAACCTTCTGATTCAGAGGCGAGAGTGCTAACAGCTGAGCGAAACTGTTACACATAGGCCCTGGATAAACTAAAGCTATTTTCTAAAGTCTTCAAAGAAATCAAGTATGGTACAAAAGGTTAGCGCACAAAAGGTTAACACATTGCCTTAAGTCATGCTCTGCTCTCTCTGTATACTAATTTACAGTAAAAATGTCTTTATCTCACCAGAGACCTGAAAGTTCCGTCTACTTAAAACGCAAAGTTTGTACTTTTTTCTGATCCAAACCAGACTTTGTTCATTTTTTTTTTAGAAATAGATTAGCATTTCAATTTCTACGTTGTCATGGGGGGCTGGGGTTCAAAGTACAATGACCAGATTGAGAAAGAAAAGAGATGTTATTTTCCTGGTAATGTCTATTGGAAATATTCTATTTTTATAAAATGTGATGAATCTAATCAGGAAAACATGATGCATGATGCTAACTTGAAATTGTGAACAATATTTGAGTGTCATTTAAATCAATCTGACAATCTCATGTTTGCAAACGAGCGTGGCAATCAAAACAACAAATCCAGTTTATGGATATTACATTTTACACACAATAAATGAGGAGAAATCCCACCAGGGTCTTTATTTATTTACTTATTTATTTATTATGCAGCATTTCAGAGTGTCCGTAATTCTTAAATACAGCCTTTTTTGTCAGTTATTTTAAGAACTGTATAAGAAAATGCTTCAAAACATGACTGAACTCAACAATTTGCTAAACTCTCAATGCTCTGAAATTCTATAAAATAGACTAAGTCGGATTTCACCCCCAAAAAACTCTATTCCTAGTGAGTGCTAATAGGAACACATTCTCCTCCCTGCTGCCCCCACTCCCCCCAACACCCAAGCATTATCAATTGACATTTAAAACGTGGGCAGGCTATTTTTCCTTAACCTTCAACAATTGACTTCAAGACAAAGCAAGTCATGCAGCCTTTCATCCATAACATGAGAATCTTTCGGAGCACATTTTGTTCCAGTTTAAAGCATGCTTTCATAGGAGAATAACATCGAAGGTCAAATTCTCACAAAATAATGAATTTCTTCAAGGGGGGAATAAGTCCCAACAGCTTTTACATAGACCTCCTTCATTCATTGTAGTTACTTGGTGGAAATAAATGAACACAGGCAGAAATTTTATTTTTTCACAGTTATGAGTCTCACTAAGATCCCTGACAAACTTTATAGTGATTTTAGAATAATGTCAATTACAAAATTAAGGACATCTGCAGTTCCATCTGTACATGTGCATTAGCACATGGTTAACACAATTTACGAATTAGACACTACAAACTGAAAGAGCAATGGGGATGGAGAGAGGATTGGTTCATTATCACACATGGGCATGCAATCATTAGGAAGAGATTTATATTTATCGTTGTAACACAGACATTTGTTGTCTGCTTGGACAAATGCTTGCGTTATTGGGTGCACTCTAAATACTTATCTCTCAGTTTATATTAGTGCAACACTCTAGCATATGGGAGCACAATAACTGCTAGATTAAGACTGCAGATAAAAATCTCAGGTTTTCTTCATTCAAGTTAAATATCCAGAGAAGATCACTGATTGATTTCTAAGTTTGCTTTTGCTCAATATAATTAAGAAAGGCAGTATAGAAATAAATATCTACTCACAAATAACAGATACAGTACTTCATGGACTGGTCTTTTGGGCTTTCCTAGCTCTTTAGACACTCATTACAATCTTCATTGATGCTGTACTTTAAACCACTTACCCCGGTATCACTATTGTGTGCCAGTCTGGCTCAGTTGGTCACTCTCACCTCTGAGTCAGAAGTTTGTGGGTTCAAGCCCCACTTTGGGACTTTGAGCTCCCAGTATAGGCTGGAACTCGTATCCTATCCTGGGAGCGCACTGAATTGTTGGAGCTGCCATCATTTGGATGTCTCATTAAACTGACATCTTTGCTCAGGTGGGCTTTAAAGATCACGTGGCATTATTTGACAAGAGAAGGGAGTTTCTCCTGGTGGTTGACCAACAATCCTCCAGGTAAAATTGATCATTCACCTCATGGCTGTCTGTGGGACACCTATGTTTTCACCATCCGTTGATGCCTGTTCTAATCCTGTCACAGCTCAATGTAGTGGATTTCCATCATCCAGACCGATTTAGTTCTTTCCTATTTCAAAACAGCAGCTCTTCTTCCTGGTCTGCCTGAGACCTGATTTCAAAATATATCAAACATATTCAAAATACTTCATGTAGATTTCATGCAATTCAAAAGAAGTGCTGGCAATCAATTTGCAGTGATTACGGTACATTAAGGTATTATAAGCTATGACCTTGTTTGATAACTTAATGTATCTCACAGACTGACAGTGCAGTACCACTTCCATTTATTTTGAATCAATTGATTATATTTTTTAAACCTTCCACACCCATGAAATTGAGGGACCCAGGATCAAACTTTTTTTTCACAAATCCTAATATTTCTATAAAAGGTGCTGCTGAAGGGCTTGCCTTCATTGTACAATTCAACTTGTGCTTCCCCAAAATTCCCACAGAATGATAGATTGCATCAACAGCAGCTAACTAGAGATTGTACCCTTGTTAATAGCCAAAATTCAAATAGAATTATGTGCAATATTATAGCACAGAAACAAGACAATCGGCCATATCTAGTCTGTGCAATGTTTATGCTCCGTTTGAGCCTTTGCTCTTCTTAGTGTCCTCTCCCATAGCCCTCTATCCCTATCCCCTCAATTATATGTGTTTTTAGGTTGCATGTAATCACTTAGAGGCCTTGAGTTGTCAACAGTCTTACTTGCGGAATCAGGGCTTATTGTCTGGGCTAACACTCCAATGCAATGCTGGGGATGTGCTGCATTGTTGGAGGTCCTTTGGACAAAATGTTAAACTGAGATCCCATCTGTCTCTTCAGGTGAATGTTAAAGGTCCCATGGCACTGTTTGAAAAGAGGAAGGAGTTTATCTTGGTGTGCTCCACCAAGAATCCCCAAATAAAATTGATTTTCACTTGATGGCTGTTTGTGAAACATTGCTGTATGCAAATTGGCTGCCATGTTTTGCCTATAGTCATAATACTTTACAGTAAATCCTGTGAAATGCTTTGAGACATCCTCGTGACTTGACCTGAAAGGTGCTGTATCAAATGCAAGGATTATTATATTTTTTTTAACTCCACTTTACCAAAAGCAGTTTTTCCTCTCCAACTTCTCACCTGCATTCTTTATTGAGGAATCACATTAAGAAATGCTGCAAATTAATGAGACGAGCGTATGCAAATGCTTGATCAAGGGTCATATATGGAGCATATCCTGATAAAATCTATTCTGAGCCACATGCACTGTTATAAAATTTACCCCATTGTTTTCTACCTTGTCCCCTGATGGTGACTATTGCTGGTGCACAGCCTTGTACCTGCCAGTAACCCTGAACTACTTAATAGTCCTTCATATCTGAGTCCAGCCAGTAAATGCAAGCACGTTATGTGACCTTGAGGGTTACTGTAGCCCATCTCAATCCTGTCCTCACCTCTTGGTTAACACACGTGTACTTACCCACACTGGGTAGTGATAAGAAGCAGGAACTCTGCCTGATTCTCTCCTTCACTAACCCAAGGCCATTAAGGTCAATTGTGGTATCTCAAACGTTGCCCTGACGTAATTTGTTCACAGGTGAATTGTAGAATCGAACAAGATTGTTGAGACGGTGCTAAATCTTGAGCTGTCTGATACTTAACATCCATGAAGGGCAGACTGGCTGAAATGGATTTGTTCTTCATCAGAACTTCAATTCCATTGAACACATTGATAAATGGAAAGGCTGTTAGCACAAGACTGCTGCTCCTGTGTTTCTGACCCTTCAAATGAGGTGTACGTTTGGTCAGATGAAGAGCATTCTTCTGTAATGAAGAATTATTTGTTAACTTGGATGTTTCTTAACCAAAGTATTTAAGAAGATGTTCTAACCTGTTACCTTTTTTTCTGTGCATCTGTGTGTGTGTGTACATGTGTATATATGTGTATATATGTGTATGTCTTGTATTTCTGTCTGTCTGTACGCACCTGTCACTTTACTGCTACAACAGGAACTCGGTCTTGTTATAACAGGGACCCTGCCCGTCTTCAACCTGACCAAAGATGCCAGTGGGAACCAGGTATGTTGCAGTGTTCAAGAGATGTAAAGTAACACATTGGAAATTCTCTGTAACCTACCAATTTTCAACGCATCACACAGTTTCTCACAAAATGAGGAAATACATTATTTTTGTGGTGGGATTGCAGTTTGAACCTATTATACAGGACTGACGATAATTCACCACTTGTTTACATCAGTGTTTGACCATGCTTTCAGCCACCTTACCCCACCCCTCCGCCACCCCCTCCCCCAACTCAGGCGTTCATTTAGTTTTGTGAAGAGTTTTGAGGCATCCTTCCAATGCGAAAGTAGTAATAAAAAATTGTTGTTGTCACTCACAGAATTATGTTGTTGATGAATGTGTCACTAGTTGGTGATAGGGGTGTTCTGAGAGTGTAGTTAAGGAAATTAATTGGGTCAGAGCGGGACTTTGCCCTAAAACTGGTACATTGTATAGTTGAATTGGTAGACATTGACAGAAACGTACAAACATTAATAGACTGGACAGGAAAAGACCATTGTGGTCCAATCTGTTTCTATCTAGATGATCCAAAATTGGAAAAAGTTACACATTTTCATCTTATGGTACATCCCTATCTTTAGAAGATAAAATTAAAAACAATTGCTTGTATTTATATAAACCCTTCATACATTATAGCATCTTGGAGCCAGGACAACAGGGCTAGGGTTCAAATAGCACTATAAAGCATGTTAGCTTTGAGTTCATGATGTAAGTCTTGGTTGATAACAGCAGTGTCATTCACTCCGAGCTTCCCGTTATCCCATGTAACACTGCAACAATATAGAATGACAAGCTCTTCTATAGATTGAAATGGATTTCCTCAACTCTTGAGTGTTCACAACTTGTTGTTACAACAGTTCCTTCAAGACCCAACTCAAGACCCTCCTCTTCGACTGTGCCTTCGATCATCCTCATTCTTCCCCTGCCCTCCACCCTCCCCGATCCTGACCCCTAGCTCGGGTCCGAAACACTGATTGTCCAGCGCCTTGGGACGTCCTCCCGACGTGAAAGATGCTATACAAAAGTAATTTTGTTGATGTTGATAATTAAGGCTTATCAGTGTTGTAACAGATAACTGCAGCATCAAATTACAAATGCAAGAATGCTAAACAAGTAAACACTAAAATCATTCATTTCCATTCTTTCCAACCATGCATTATTACTGCACATTAAGCTGTAGATTGACAAATCTGTCTTATTGTAAAGCTGCATAAATACAACGACTCCCCTTGAGAACTAAATTTAGCATTCTGGGCATTAGCTAGAATTGATTAGTGACTGGGAGAAGATGTATTTGTCGTGATGAAGTAAATGTTTAGCATTACAAGCTGTTGAGATTTGACTGCAGGCAGAAAACGTTCCACGTTCCTCAGTCAAAATAATTAACTTCAATTATCTTCTTTGACTATCTTGTAAACCCACACTTTGGAAATGGTGCAGCCTGAATTCTAATGAGGAACACAGCTTGAGACAAACAATGCAATTGGATCTGCATTGTCAGTGTACAGAGCACGAGAGCAATGTTGGAGCACTGGAGGTGAAAGAAAACGTTGTGTGATATGCTATTCATCACATCGTCAAACCTTGGGGTCTAAGCAGCCAATAATTATTGGCTGTCATGATATGACCTCTTCCATCCCTGACATCTGATGATATTAATACTTTATTTTTGTTCCACGTCTCAGAATCAACTGATCCTTGGAGTGATGGGGATTGATGTGTCACTTGAGGATGTAAAGAGACTCACACCTCGCTATACTGTGAGTATCTATTGTGGACGCTGCTTGTTCTTATCCCTGCTGAATAACTGCAGTTGTTATGTAGAGATGGGGTATGGGAGAGGGGATTAAAAAGGGTGGAGGTTCATGCCTTGTACAAACGCTGGCACAGACTATAGTTGGGCCGAATGGCATGTTACCATGCTGTACTGGTCTATAGGCCATGCACACATGTAGCTCAGTAGTATGTCATGGACATGCTTGTGTGTGGAGGTGCATTTTGTATCCCTTTCAATACATGTGTTGTATTCACTTGCTTGGAGATTGTCCTTGCAGCCATGCAGCCACAGATTGTCCTCAAATGACTCTTCCAAATAGGAAGCCCTGCAGCCTGTTGAGTATACACCACTACCATCTTTATTATTAAATCACTCTAATTTTGTTAATCCCACTTTCCAGCTCTTCTCCATATCCCCCAGTGTTTATCCAGTTCACTTTTGATCACTTTTGCTGCAACTGTTCAGGGCCCTGGTGAGACCACACCTGGAATCCTGTGTCCAGTTTTGGTCTCCTCATTTAAGGAAGGACGTACTTGCCTTAGAGGGGTGCAGCATAGATTTATTAGGTTAGTGCCAGGGATGAAGGTGGATGAGTTACGAGGATAGGCTGACCAATTTGGGTCTACATTCTCTAGAATATAGACGAATTAGAGGGGATCTTATAGAAACCTATAAGATCATCAAAGGGCATGATAGAGTAGATAGTGGGAGATTGTTTCCCCTGGTTGGAGAAACTAAAACCAGGGGTCACAACCTTAAAATCAGAGGCCAGCCCTTTCGCACTGAGTTGAGGAAGAACTTCTTCACTCAAAGGGTGGTGAATGTATGGAACTCACTACCCCAAAGGGCTGTTGACGCTCAGTCCTTGAACATATTCAAGACTGAGATAGATAGATTTCTTATTGCAAAAGGGATTGAGTGATATGGGGATAAGGCAGGGTCAGGTTATTAGCTGGAGTTAGATTAGAAGATCAGCCATGATTGAATGGCGGGGCAGGCTCGAAGGGCCGAATGGCCTACTCCTGCTCCTACATGTTATCTTATGTTAAAATGTTCACTCCATTTATCCAGCCTCAATTGCCATTTGTGGCAATGTATTCCAAACCTTAGCAACCCTCCGAGTGAAGATATTCACTGCAACGTGCTTTACCTCTGTCCCGAGGTTGCAGTGTTCACCAGGCAAATTGGTCTCTGGCAGTTTCTGGGTTTGCTCATTCTGTTTTACAATGCAAATTACAGTACTCTTGGTGTTATCTCCGATTGCAGCACTTTGCATCATTAACTGTTTAATTAACAAACACAGTAGGTAGAACCTCAAAAATTAAAGTTAATTTCAGTTGAAAAACGTGCAAATATCACTTTAATATATTCACAGTAAAGATTTGGTATTGACTCCCTTCAAATCCTGAGTGTGTTCTAATTACTTTGCCTGCATAATTACAATGATCAAGCATGGGCACAAAGAGAATCATAAACCTAAGAAGTGCAATCATAGCCTTTTCAAAATGGAAATGATTCCACTTTTCTATATCAGAAAATAATGCATCAATGATACCACTGTTCGAATTAAAACACAGGCCAGATTATTTTGAAATAATATAATGCTTTTTTCAATTTGGATTCACCCTATATTGGTCAGCCTGGCTCAATTGGGGACTTCAGATTAGAACTCTCATCTCTTGAGTCTGAAGGTTGTGGGTTCAAGCCCCATGTTGTGCCTTTGAAATCATATAGTCTGGAGTAGACTGACACTCGAATGCATGGGTGCATTGCATTGTTGGAGGTGCTGTCTTTCAGATGAGTGTTAAATCATGGTCCCGTCTACCTGTTTAAGTGGATGTTAAAGATTCCCATGGCACTCTTTGGAAAGAGAAGGAAGTTTCTCCTTTGGCCAACAATCTTCCAGATAAAATTGGTCATTCACTTCATACTGTTTGTGGGACAGTGCTGTGCACAAATTGACTGCCTCATTTGCCTACAAAATGCACAATCACTGCTCTTTACAATAAATCCTGTGAAGTGCTTTGAGACCTCCATCAGACTGCTATCAAATGCAAACATTATTATTAACTTGTTGCATTATTAAAGTTTTTGTTTTATTTATATATATATATACATATATGTATATGTTCTTTCAACAGCTTGGGCCTAATGGATATTACTTTGCAATAGATCCTAATGGTTATGTATTGCTTCACCCAAATCTTCAGCCAAAGGTACAGTATTGGAAATGTTTTAATAAATATGCTTGAGAGGTTTCTGTCTGTGCTGTTAGAAAGGCAGTCAGGGACTTGTGTTGTGATCATTAAAACTTGGTACCAAAGCAATTCACAATTTGCAGCACCTCAGTTATTTATTGATCTACCCATTCACCTACTGCTATAATGAGGTAATTGGCCACTTATCCTTGCTGTGAATTAGGAAGCTAATGATTCTGTTGTGTGACTGTGATGGAAATGCAGTCATCACGTGACACTATTGTTGTTACACCAGAGCAATCCAAATTACAGCCATCAATTCTAGCGGCAGCTCAAATAGGCATTACATATCCAGCACAGATTTCATTCTGAGCTTTTAATCAATTCTATAACCTTTACACTTGGTTGCAAACAGGTTAGAATAATATGTCACTCTTTAGGGCAGTCATGTCTAAATACAGCATAAAGATATTAAGATGATTTATTGTCTCTCTCTAAAATAGAACATGCACTTTGCTTTTGTGAAGGTTGGTCCAGCAATGATTAAGAACGCTTGCATCATGTTGTATTTTAGCAGAGGATCATTTCATACAGTAGATTATCGAAGTTTGGCACTGCATTCCAGAGGACAATATTGTAAGGTGTATAGAACTAACCAACGTAAAGCAGTGCTGCATGTCAAGCAAACTACAGTTGAATAAGTCCTCAGCACAAAAAAACAAAAGAAAAAAACAATCCTTCACGGGTGATTTGGAGACAAACGGATCAATTATTTTCTTGCCAATGGTTAGAATAATGACTTGTTAGATTAAGTGACATCAATCCTTTGGAATGTGACTGCACTGTGGATCTGCAGCCAATACTAGTATTAACATTTAGATGAGATATTTTTCATCATATTTAACAAAATAAATGCAAAGTACGTTAGCCCTTAGCACTTTTGGATACAATGGTCTAGAATTATTAAACTGGTATGTTTTCTTGAAGAAACTCGAACAAACAGTTTGGGGATATTAAAAATGATGCCCTATCCTTTGAACCAATGTTATACATTAACAATATAAATGTTTTAAATTATACACAAGTTATAATAATGTGCACATAGCTTATTCAATGATTTAAGTCAATTTGTGGTGGAGTGCTATTAAATTCAGGAATTCTTGGGTATTCTTAAAAAACACACACTAAGGTCTAAATTGAAGCCACGTCTCATCAATAACAATTCTGAGTCACAGACAAATCCCCCTTCAAGTCAGTATATAACTCTGATTTACGAGACTCCCAGTTAATTAGGTGGTAATGGTGTTCCTTCAAGTCATTAACATATCTGTGATTTTTTGGAAGGATTTTATATTTACAGCTCTTAGTAACTCCCAGAAATTGCCTCAATTTAGCCCCCAGGTATAACCGTGAGATGTGTCATTATGTGATTAACATAATCCTTTTCATTAGCTGTTAATTACATAACAAAAAGTGTGCTCATAATTCCCTCTGTACATTTAAACATGGTTTACATATATTTGGCAATATGGTTTGCACAACTCACCTAACAGCATCCCATCATTTTTTCTTGCGGTGCAAGTGAAAGCATTCAGGTGACCAAAGGGTGAGCTTATGCTTGTGGGAAGTGAGATCATACGTAAGTACTGGAAGTGGTGGCATTATGTGTGTTAGTTTTAACCAATCCAATTTGCACAACTTAAGTGAAATCCCTAACAGGAAGGCTGCTGAGGTTGGGAGCGATGCACAGCAGAGAGACTGCTAAAGGAACTCCCTTCTGATGCTAAGGTACACAGCAAAGGCAGCGGATTCTCTCTCTGCCTATCTCCAGTAAACTAGCAAACTAACATTAGATCAAGTTGGCAAAATTAAAACTAACTTCACAACTTTCGTCTTTTTGTTTTACTAGAAAGTGCTTCTTAGGCCTAAAAGTATTCCTAAATTGTCCATCAAAGAGGTGAGCATGTTGATAGTGTGCTGGAATTCGTAGTAGGAATAGTGTGCTGGATTTCCTGCTAGGAGTGCATTCCCTTTCTGACTAGGTTGTAGGAATTAGGGCTTAAAATTTGCCAGGCAATGAGCTCATTTGCTGTGCATCCACAAACCCAATGTGAACTCCAATTCTGTCCTTTCTGTATCAGCTTGTAGGCATTAGTCCCGCAGTATAGAAGACAATATTCCAGTATTATTGACGTGCAGAGAGAATTGGTGAGGTGTTCTCCCTCTCTCTCTCTGTTAATACCTTCAGCTCTATTGCTACTATTCTGTCCACTGATGTGAAGATTAAAGGTCTGATTCTCACAATGTGAGAGATAATGCAACATGGGATGTGTTAATTATGACATTGACTAAAACCTCTAACTTTGTCGCAATGGATTGCCCTGAAGCTTGCTTAAATCTTTCAACAGTTGTTGTTTTTGCCAAACATATTTGAGTGCTGCTTCGCAGGCGACATACGGTGAATCAAAATGCCTCAGTCCCTCCTAGAATCATAGAATTATACAGCACAGGAGACCATTCAGCCCATCGTGTCTGTGCCAGCTCTTTGAAAAGAGCTGCCCAAATCAATCCTATTCCCCTGCTCTCTCCCCATAGCCCTGCAAACTTGTCCTTCCCAAATAATTATCTAAAATTATTTCTCTTCTCAAAGCCCTGTATGCCCCTGTATGGGAAGCATGCAGTACAGAATTGTTTTTTGTTCCAATTGTGAGATGTTTATTAAATTCAATGTTGTATAAAGCAAGTTCTTGGCTTACTGACTGGTATAAATAATATGGAAAAAGCTGCCAAATTGCAAGGCTACTTGTCCAAAACCAGTCAACCTTTCACTGGCAACTGAGTGTATCCCCATCCTGTCCAACAGTCCCTATGAGGAGATATCCTGGACCTATTTCCAATTGAGTGTTGTTGAGAAGACTTTCTCCTCACTAACATTCTATAAAAGGTTTGTGTGATCTTGTGAAGGCATTGCATGAGGGAAATGCAACATTGGGCGAAATAAAAAAAAACTCTTGTAGCATCAAATTTGTAAGCAGGTCTGTGTAATTTACAATGGGACTTAAACAAACATTTAGCACTACATTCCTTATTTAACAATATCAAAGCTGTCATTTTTTAATGTATTAGGTGTTAGAATGTTGTCCGCATATTACATTTTCACAAACCGGTCACCATCCACTTTGCCTGGTATTATTTGCAAATATCAGCAACCCTGGTTTAAGATTGTTACCGTGTGACCCCCCCCCACCATATTCCTTCCATGTCAAATGTTGGTCACTACACCCCTTACCTCTAGAACTCGCTCCTACCGCACCGTCTTGCCACCTCTCTATCTGTCTATCTTAAATACTGCTTTCATCAGCCCTGCCTGTTTGATGCCCCCATAATCACCTTTTCCCTTTCTTGCCCTTGGATCCAGCTACTGTGAAGTGCCCTGTGACATTGTCCTTCGTAAAAGCGCATATAAATTGTTGGGGGATGAGTATTTCTCGGCATCTAAAACTTGTTGTACATTACCTGGGAGTGCTTGTTTGAGGCTTTGGGTTCAAAGGTGACACAGTGGAAAGGTTTAATTGGTTCTCAGTGGACTGAAAGGATTGTATCAGTAAATAAAGCTGCCAGAGATCAAAAGCAATCACCTCACTCTATACTCAGTCTCATTACTTAGACAGATTTAATCTACGTCAGAGGATATTTGAGCCCAGATAAAAACATTGCAATTAATGATGTGACTTCTGTTGAGCTGTGGTGTAGTAGTATTCGAGCAGGCAGTTGTTTGTGTTTTTTAGAAGCTCAAAACAGAAGGGACTGATGAATTACTGAATATATTTAATGGAAATTGGAGGAGGAAGGCTTGCTTGTTAGCCCATGGCTTTACCCCGAAATTTGCCACTAAATGTTTGCTTAGAAACTACATAATAACTTTACAGTGCATCATATGAAGCAGTTTTCAGACATCCTCCCAACATGAACAGTACAATATCAAATGCAAGAACTAATATTGATAGACTTTAGTTGAGGTGCACCATTGAATATTGGGGAAATTATTGCAAGATCACTGTGAAGTTAAACATAGAAACGGGAGTAGGCCATTCAGCCTCTCGAGCCTGTTCTGCCATTCTATAAGATCATTGCTGATCTGTACCTCAAATCTAATTACCTTCCCTTGCTCTGCATCCCTTAATACCCTGATCTAACAAATATCTATCCAGCCTAAGAAATATCTCTCCAAGTTAAACCTTGACATTTCGCCCTGCATTCCACGCTTAAGCTCTACACCACTAAGTCTGACTGTGTTAATACACTAGGCTCCTTGTGGTTTCTGGAGCCAATAAAAATCTCAGTCGGAGCCATAATTAGTTGTGTGGTTTTCCTCGATCTTCTTCAGGTGGCTGTTAAATCACCTGGGTTGTAATTCAGATCTCTTGTGTGGACTCTTAAATTGTGGAAATGTTTTTTGTCAGACCTTGCTGCAGATATCATTCCAAACCTATCAGTGCTACATTCCCCATGTGAACGTTACCAAAGCAACAGAACTGCTTTCAATCTCAACAACAATTAAGTCACCAAGTCCACTGCCACATGTATCCCTTACAACGCCAATTCCAATTCAACTCTACCTTCCATCAAAGCTACCTCAACCTTGTTATACAATTTAATACATTATACAAACTCCTGCTGCTTTTATACCTCTGGAAGCAATTTAACATAGTTTCCATTAGTTGAGCGATACGAATGAATGAAGTTGTTTTTCTCTGGCCATTGTCACCACTCAGGTTTGGAATTAAATCAATACTTGATGTGCTAGCACAGGCCTGGGTATTAGCATTGACAGCAGTGTGTTGCAATGCAGTTATACATGGTGCCCATCCTGCATTCACATCAACAACAATTTTACATTTAAATAGCCCCCTGCACGTTGGGTGGTTGCCTCAAAGCACCACCCAGAGTCAGCTGGGAGCCCAAGCTGGTGATCCTCTGAGATATTTTGGCTGTTCTATTTCCTGTTTCCCCACTTCCTGTCTGACACCCATGTTATGACCCATATTTCTGTCACATTTCATAATGTAATATGAGTCACCTGACCATGTTACCTGGCTGGTAACAAAGATGTGATGTTGATAATCATCCCTTACGCTTTGGGAAGTCAAGTGGACATAAATAATTGCTATGTTATGCAATATCGTCATTGGATTAGAATAGATGAGGAGCATGAATCCTTGTAGTGCGGCTATTAAGCACATAGCACATAATTTGTATTAAAATAAAACCAATTAATTTGTAAATTAGAAAAATAACATGCTGCTCATGTCCTTTGAAGTAAACTTTATGCCACAAGATATACAGCAAAACCTTTTATACTGCCCTCCAATAGAGCTTACTTGCAGTGGGCTACTGTGAATCTGCACTAAATGGACACACGATGCTTTCAGTGCTGATCAGCCAGTTTCCAATGCCAAAATATGGCAGATTTCTAGGTTGTCAGGTCACCGCTGATGTCACTTCCTATGCACAATGTATTGTACGCTATATACAGGAAGGTCCACAACATCACTTCCTGTGCACTCGTTCCAGGCTATAATGTAAAAAACATCACATCAGCAGTGACCTGACAACTTGGAACTCGACTTCATATTTTTGTTCTCCTCTTATGAAGAAACCAAACTTCTTGTAGCATCTTCTGAAGATGGGATTTGTTTCAATTCATTGAGGTCTGTAAGGCACCAGGAGGTGGTGTTCAAGGTCAAACAGCATGAAGCTACATTCTGCCTGGCAAATTTGAATCCCTTGCACTAGTTGATAGCTCTTCCTATATTCCTATGTTGCTTTCAAAGTGTAGGTAGATTCTAGCTTGTCAGCTGGAAGAAATGTACCCTGTGGTGTGATATTATCATCCCATTTTAACCCCAATCTCTGATCATTTTCAAAAAGAAATATACATTAACTAGTAATCTAATCCTCATTCACAGATAACTCTTTAGAAACCCCATGTTGAAATGTTATAAATTGAAGCACTGGGGAATAGATCTAAGATGCCTTGGCTCATTTAAATTAGTTTCAATGCCTTTGATACTGAGTTTTGTGTTCTCAGGGTAAAGGGGAGGATTTTTGGGGTCAGCGCGGTCTGACAAGTGCAAAAATTCATCACAATATCCAAATCAGACTGGGAGTTCAACATATGAATGTCACTCACATGTAGGAATTTTCCTGTGCTTGGAATGGAATGCAAACTCTCCCTGGTGTGTTATACCTCACTTACCTAATTCTGCAGATGATTAGGTGTAGATTGGCAACAACCAAGGCTTGGGGATCCCAGAGTGTGCATTAGGGTACAGTTGCAGTTTAACCAGCTAAAACTGCAATGGTTGTCATTGAGAGCACTGTCTGGCAATCTTCCAACTGCTTGTCCATCTAGGACCACTCTACCCATTAAGGTTTCTGCTTTGCAGACTTGCAGAAGCTTAGTGGGAAAAATCCCTGTTCCCGGTAACTAGTCACCACTCCAGTTATCCAGCATTGCTGTGTGCAGATTGGCTACCCACAAAATACAGTCACTCCACTTTGTGGTATTTCCTGTGAAGCACTTTGAACCATCCTGTTGATGTGAAACGTGCTATATCAAATGGAAAGTTTATTAAGGAATATTATTACATAGTTAAAGCTTTATGTCAGTATTTAGAGCTCAAACTCTAGGCTGGCATTCCAGTACATTCCTAGCCAATAATTCTCCAGATAAATTGGTTGTTTTTGAGACTTTACTAAACAGAAGTTGTATTTGCTGACATATGCAGTCACAAAACTTGGCAGCAATTACCTGTGAAGTGCTTGATACGTTGATGTTAAAAGCAAATGTCAAAATTACAAGAAGAAAATACGGTCTCTAATACAGGAGTACAGTTTTGTAGGGTTAGAAGGATCATATTTCCTCCAAGATTATAATTTTAATGTTAGTACGTTCTCCTATGCACAGACCGATTAAGGAGACTGACACCCAGGGTCACGTATAACTCGGATTTGTTTGAAGCAATTTAAGTATACCCTTATAGGGTTACCCGTTCAGGGAGGTGAAAGAGAGAAAAATCATCAACCAGGGTATGCCATTTTCCAATGCATGACTTTAATCAGCTGGACCAGGGCCATGGAAAATTCCTCAGCATAATCCTTGATGCTGCCAGGTGAAGAAGGCCGAGGCAGAGATGGAAATGTGTGACACAAAGTTTACTGAGATATTAAATTGCAAATAACTGTTTTATAAGCCAGGCCTATTATCCCAAATGATGTCCCAGTCTCCCAGCGTTGTATTGTGAACATTGTTCCACGGACACTTTTGGACCACAACATATCTTTGCATAGAGAAAAGCGGATGCCAGTGGCTTTCATCTAAAGATATATCCATATCACTCAGACACAAACTAAATAAGGACTGATCCATTCACTGCAACATAATACAGTCAAACCTGTTCAAGCAACCACCTCCAATCAGCAACTACCCCCTGTTAACAACCATCCTGGCACAACCCGAACAGAAATCCTACACACAAACATGTTAACAACGAACCTTTTCTCAAAGGTGACCCTTATATAAAGGTCACTTTGGCCCAGACCCCTGAAAGGTTTTTGAAGACAGGTTTCACTGTATGCACAACCCTCTCATCTCAACATAAACTTACCATTTTGCTGAGATCTAGTAGAGTGAATTTGCAATTTATAACAATAGATGGATGTTATCTTAGGATGAAACTGACAGGTTTATTCTGGTATGTGAATGCACAAGTTAAAAATTCTGTGTCAAGTATATTCAGTACATTTGTATATTATGAATTATTCCATGCCTTAATTTCTGTAATTGACATCTCTCCCCTTAATTGGTTTTTATTGCTGCCAAGATATTTCACACCATAATTTCATATTTTACTGTTCTAGTAACCTAAAATCCTTGCTTTCTTATTACCTTAGTCAATTGGTGTAGGGATCCCAAAGGTTTATTTAAGAGAGAGGCACCCTAATGCACAGGTAATGTAGTTGGAGGTGGTTTTAATGCAACAAAGCTGTCAGAATTGAACGCTTTTCATTTGGAAACGCCTATCTGTGGGACTGGCTGCCCAAAGTTCCACGGCATGACTTTAAACCCGCTTAGATGGTAACTAATTGACTGCCAATTACTGGTGATTTACTAGTTCGGGGCAAACTGCTCACAAGGTAGGGTCTGCTATCACCAGAAAATAGTAATAAGTTAAAAAGAAATTCTCAGGATGAATGTGGCTGACTTGAAAATCAAACTTGTCAAAGTGGTTCAACGTGTTTGGCACTCCTTGCTGCTGGCCATGGATATTGCATGCAGTCTGTGCATTTCTTTGATGATTATGGTATTTGCAGCTTTTTTGTTCTCTCCCATATTGTGATGGTGCAATTGTGGGTATCGCAAACTCTCCACTTGTAGGTTTGACTGTTTGACTCGCTCCAGCAGGAGGAATCAAATAGTTTCTGTTCATTCATCGATATCGGCGGATCTCGAGGGAAGAAACAATCCACATTGAATTAATCTCAATATTTTAGCAGTTTTCAATTTGGTAGATCTGGTCAAAATAGGAACATAATGTTCTGTTTCTTTCCAATACGTCTTGATAGTTTAGTTTCCTTTAGTAAATCCAGAAAGGTTTAATGAGATGATTTGTGTGTTCAATTTGGTTTCTGCTTTTATGCATCTCTGAGAAGGATTATATAAATGGGTTGATTGCTCAGTGAAGCACATGTTCAGCATTGTGACATTCGAAAAGCTAATTTTGTTATGCTAAAATTTGTAAAATGTCTGTTCTTACTCAATGAAAGGCTTCCATCTGGTGATGGTGAGATGATATAAACTTGGGAATTAACATGAGCCTGAATCCAAACTCATCTGAATTCAGATTTGCAGGATGGGAGAAGGGTTAAATCTCCTTTTTTTTACTGTTTATTTATATTTGTGAATACATTTCACAAACTGAACGTCTCTGCAAACGGTTCCTCAGGCAACCCCTAAAGATCAGATTATTTCAAGGCAAAAATAACTTTAACTTTAAAAAACTTTATATAAATAGCAATTTCTATTCATTAACATTTTAAACCAGTCGAGGTTAACTGCATAAGAAACTGGAGGTGAGCACAGGTACACCAATGCATTGTGGCAAAGAGGTACCTTAAAGCTGCCTGGTCAATGCATTCAGAGTAAGTGAAATTTACACACACTGTCGTTACTTCTGTACGTTTTCTCCCCTAAAAATGTCACCAAAATTTGGGGAAATACACCTCATGGTCACAAAACTGGTAGGAATCAAGAATCTGAAATGGAACTGACTCATTCTTCCCTAACAACTTTTGAGGTTTCCGACCCATATTCAGAATAATGTCTTCAATGTCACTGTGGATTTAATACAAACTAGGAATAAATTACATGAGTATGCACATTTCTTTGCACGTATGATCGAATATTTCTCATGTATGTAAAGGTCTTGTGAAAAGGTAAGTCGAAAACAATAGAAAATACCTGTTGCAACCAAATTAAGAATGTGTTTGAAACAACCCATTCCTTGAATTGCGCCATTGATCACTGGATGCTAGTGAAATATTATGGATTTTGATAACCATGTCTTCATGCTACAAATATTTGCAAACTTTTTTGAGGGTACGAAGTGTTTTGAAAGAAATAGCTCCTTCCTTAGCTTTACGCTTCATTCTCCGTGAAGCGCATTGACTTATTTTGCTCTTTCAATTTAGAATGATGTCCCTTTTGAAGATTTTGTGGCTATTGATTTTGCTTGTGTTTGATGTGCTACTTTTTTAAGAGCTCTCTTTCCATTAGAAACTTTTTTTTGCCTTTGGATGCATGAATTCCTTTGAAGTGCTTGCCTGCAATGCATAGAAGGGAAGTGACTGACCTAAGCTTACAGTCTCTAGTGATATTTGTGTGAAGTTGCCATTGAATTCCCTGACAGTGGAAGAGACGGGGTGAAATTTTAATGTATGTGTACTCCACCCTGCTTAAATTTAAGAAAATGTAAAGAAATTAAATAACTACAAAGTAAAATCTTACCATTTTGATTTTAATTTAATACAACTAATTCATGTCCCTTTTTAAAAAAAATTCTAATATTTACAGGTTATATATTCTCGGCAGTCATTCTGAATGCCTGTGTGTTTCACTTTCTGGATTAAAGCAACCTGATAGGTATCTGGAGAAGATCAGAGTTTACAGGAGCCAAACAGGGGGCTTCCTGTGTCCACTGTGTGGAACAAGAGCCTGCATTTTAAGACCGACATCTCTGTCATTCCTCATTATTTCAGAATGTTGTGCTGAAATTATGCCATAAGGACCATCACCGATTTACCCTCAGTGATGTGGCAGAAAGGCGGAAGGACCGAGCTCTGATGGTGGAATGGGCAGGGCGGGGGACATTGACAGGCCAGTGTCCACTAAGCAGAGGGAGCTGACAGCTTGGTAAAGTTTTAGTAGGTTGCAGAGGTCGGGAGGAGCAAGACTGTGGATGTAAGGATGAGGATCTTGAATTCGAACCTCCTGGGGCTGGGGAGTCAGTGAAGCTGGGCAAGGGTAGGGGATGGTTGGCTCACCAAGCTTAGTTCGGGAGAGTATGCAAGCTGCAGAGTTCTGAATAATCTGCAGCTTGTGCAGGGAAGGGTTGGGAAATCAAATTATTCACAGCATTAAACATTTCAACATCCTTTCAACATTTCCAGGGACTTCCCTTGAGAGCTTTGAGCAGTTACTGTTGTGCTACATTGCTCCTGAAACTGCAAAGTCAATGTAATTTTTGCCCCATTCACACTGCACACATAAAAGTGCAGCAATTCACATCCAAATGCATGGTATAAAATTGCAATCCTGTTGTCACAAGATTATTATTATCCAACGGTTTATTTCTATTAAATTGGCAGTGTTATTGCTAGCAACAAGGCTCCTATAGTGGACCTTTCCCATCGTGGCTCATTACAGATTTTATCAGAATTCTTGGGACCTCTATAAAACTATGATTTAAAGCAAGGGGTTTGAAAATGCATTAAAAGGCCAGCTGTCTTTTCCCCTGAAATCATTCCTTGTGTTTTGCTTGTGATATTTTTGATTTTCCATTGTTTTGTACAAGTGCTTTGTATTTCACACTTTTACTTTTCATTCCATGGCTGTATATACATTGCAAATCGTCGTGACCTGCTTACAACCATCGTGTCAATGTCTTGGTGCATGCTGCATGATTGGTAATGTGATAAGATCTTTCTGTGCCTGAACTGTATTGTAACAATTATATTGTGATCATTTCTTTCCTTATTTGTTTAATTTGGATGTTATCTATTTAACTGCACTTTTTATGGATTCTCCAGTCCCCGCTGTAATTATTTAATTATGTTTGGTTTGCGAATGTACCTATTCAGTGAAGATACAGATGGGGCTAGCATTGGATGCTGTTTTAAAATATAGTATTTACCCAGAGGAAGGTACCTTTTAGTTTAGGATGTTGATTAAAACCTGCTTTATTTTACCGCTTTTTTGAAGCATTTGAATAATATTAATGGACGATTTGTATATAATAACATATACTGTTTGTTTGTTGATATCTGATTGGAAGTAAAGCCGGCTTGGTTAAACAAACAGAGAGGGCACTGGTACCAGATTATAATTAATGCCTAATCTTAGATGAAAGGAGATGGTGCCTCAAGAGAAAATTAGAAAACATTTCAGTTTGTTACAAAAGTGTGATCTCTATTTCATCTCAGCCTGAGATGGGGAGAGGAGGGGGTTTACAGCAAATGGGGTGAAGATGGATTTCAATTCCCATGTAAATGGCAAATATGATCCAGATTCACTCCAGATTGCCTCCGCCATATTCAGAAATACAATGCCGCAGAAATTCTCCTCTCTAAAGCATCCCTGAAGTAAAAAAAATATTGTTTGTAGTGTAAACCGAATTCACGATAGTTATTAAAAGGATTTGCTCCTCATCTCATGAGCATCTGCTCTGAACCCAGTTGGGTAATTAAAATGGATTGTTTTACCTTAATGCTTTTAGCAATTAGCAGAGATTCATTCTGTAGAGCTTTGTTTCCTAATAAACCGTAAAGGAAATAAAGTAAATTAATGTACCAGTTGCAAATTGAAAAAAAAGTATTCAAAAAGACAGCTGAACCTAGTTAGAGGATGCGATCAAGCAGAAAAGTGATGATTGTCAAAAATTCTTAATAACACCATGTAACGGTTTCAGGGGATTCATTAAATTGAACAGAGTTGTTGTATTTTACATCACGCATTTTTCAAAGGATATACAATCCTCATTACATAGGAGGAAGTAGCTAGAATATGATAAGATCCAGAAATTCCCAATCTTAACCTTTATGACAAAATGGTCAAACAGGCTAAGGCTAGGTGGAATTTGGGAAATGTAGATTGCTCCAGAATAGGAACAGGCCATTTGAACCAATGGGCCTGCCATAGTGTTATTCTTTGCAAGCACAATCTAATCTCCTGTTCCTACTCCAAACCCTTTAATATTCCTACTTTTCAGCAATCTAGCGATTACCCTTTTAAAAGAATCAGTGCACTCTGCCTCAACGACAGTTTGTGGCACAATATTCCTCAGTCGCCACTCCCCATAACCCACCCCCCCTCTCCATTTATTCACAGAGATAATTCCATTAAATGCCATGGAATCAATTTGAGGTGTGGAGGGGGAGGAAGGAAGGTCAGGTGAAGTCATCTAGGGGGAGGTCAGGTGAGGGTTTGTTGGGAGGATGTCAGGCAAGGGACCGATGGGGTACTGCATGGGACACATGGGAGGTATGGTAGGAAAAAAAACAGGAGAATAGGACCACAATCTACAGAGTGGCCACTTTTTACCAAGTGCAAAATTAGATGGGGGAAGGGAAAAATCGTGTCTTAAGGGTCAGAGCTTGAGTTCTGAGATTTGCAAGTAATATACACTACATTTAAACCTATATAATAATTAACCTGTCCGCATCAATATATAGTCACCTCCTGATAACTCGACTCTGGCTTAACTTGTCACTACCACTTAAGACATCACACTGTCAATATCCTGGCTGCATTTATTGATGTATTTATACCCACCACTTGGGATAACTCGTTACTGAGCCCTTTTCCCTTGGAGTGATCAGGAGTTTACTGTATGAATTTTCCTGACAAAATATGCTTGGATCTGGTATTAAAGTGAAGAAATTATTTCTGCCAGAATTAAAAATCACTTTATTCGGCTTACACCACAAAACAATTAATTGTCGTAGGGTGATGCTGTAAGATTTTAATATTTCTGCTGTCCCACCACTGTGTATCCACCCCACTTTAGCGGGTGGGCCTTCAGTCATTCTCCTGCTCTCTGGAATTCCATCCTGAAGCTCTTCTGATTTCTACCCTCCCCACTTTCAAAGCCCACCTCAATACTTACCTGTTTGACCATTCTGTCAGATGTCTTTCCCTTTCCTCTCCAACTTCCTCTCCCCTGGTTCTGGTGCCCAGCCAGCAGTGTAATGTACTTTGAGGTGTCCTCCTGATGTGAAAGGCGCTATATCAATATAAATTGTATTGCAAGACAGAAGGTTGAGGAATTACTCTGGAAACTGCTTCGCCCAGCACTTTTATTAATTTCAGGATCCAGAAAAACATTGCTAACGTGGAAAGAAATAGCACTTTGTTAATCTGAATTAAAACCTTGTGTCATCCACAAATACGCTTTGCTTCACCACGGGATAAAAGTCCTCATTGAGAACAGTATCAAGTGTAAAGCTTGGCTTAACACCAGGTTAGGTACAGTACTAAACTTTAGGTCACTGTGGTTTTTCACTCACTGTCTGATGGTTTCTCCGTTTTTGGTTTAGAATCCTAAATCTCAGGAGCCGGTCACGTTAGATTTCCTGGATGCTGAACTGGAGAATGAAATTAAAGTGGAGGTGAGTTATTTGTCAGTAGCCAATGCTTACTGTGATTTCAATAGCCTTTGGCCTATAATGTCTGGATCCATGCCAGCAATTATCCTAGCTGTTTGTTGGATAATTTCTGCGTGCAAATTACCTGTTGCATTGTCCAACAAAAGACACAATCGCTTAAGCAGTAGACACTTTACGTTAAATCCTATGAAATTTTTTGGGTTGTCCTTTCAGTGTGCAGGACCCTGTATCAAGTATAACGAGTATTTACTTATCCTAATTGGAGAGTAGATATGTCAGCAACTACTTGCATTTATATTGTGCCCTTCACGTAAGGTAATGTCGTGGAGGATGGGGTTGAACTCAGAGACAGGGGAGAGGGAAGTGGCCTTAGACCCATTCAAAGAGAATAGATTTGAGGCCAGACTTAAAAACAGAAAGAGAGCTGGTAAGATAGAAGAGCAGAGAGAGGGAGTTCCAGATGTTAGATACTTGCTGGTGTGTGATGTGCATAGTTTGTGCCTTGGTATTAGGCTTTGTGTGTGGCAGGACATGTGTTTATTTGAAAGAGTTAGTTCTGCACTAATTGAAAATGACAGCTTGTCACTGCAATTACGAACAGATACTGAAAAGCAAACTTCCATTGCCTGCTTCTGACCACGGGAGCTCATTCTAGTTGGGTTACTGTGTGGCATAATGCACGAGTTATGTTTTGTTAAGTGGAAAAAATCTTCCTGTGAAATTGTATATTTTCAGGCAACCTTTCAGCTTCTGAAATTAATCAACTGTACTCTCTTTCCAAGAAAATCTCGGTGTTGAATGTTGCTTAATTTGATACCACTAGTTATAGGATACCATCAGTGTGTGATAGCTGTTTTTTGCATCAAATTACATGTAATAGACCCAGGACTGAATGCCAGCCAAGCTGGGCAGCCAGATTGATGCACAAATCCTCTTGTTCCACACACATGGGTTAGCAACCATGTGAAATACAGAAGGAGATTGTTTTAATTTGCTATTTTACCGAGGAACCACTCCTAAAATTTTCCTGCACTGACTAGTAATTTACTATTAGGTAAAATTAAATATTAATTCCTTGTCAATAGGTGAGAAGATAATTACAAAACTGACGGTGTTTTCCTGGAACAGCTAAACGTGACTTTCCCTCTTGTTGGTCTGGCTCTGTTAGTAGCATTTACAAATCAGAGTCAAAGGAATGTGGATTCAAGCCCCATAGGGATTTTGAGCTGATAGTCCAGGCTGTCATTCCATTGCTGGGAGAATGCTGCATTGTCGCAGGTGCTACCCTTTGCATGAGATGTAAAACTCCAATCACACGTGTACAGATCCCATCGCACTTTTCAAAAAGAGAAAGGATTTTTTTCCGGTGTAAAATTCCCGATTAAAATAAGTCATACACATCATGGTGGTTTGCAGGACGTTGCAGTGCAAAAATAGGCTGCCACCTTCGCCAAATACACAGTCAATAAATGTACAGTAAATCCTGGGAAGCACTTTAAGACGTTGGATGGCATGATAAAGTATTATATTAAATGCAAGGTTTATTAATACTATCTAACTGACATTCCGCAAGACTGCAGTCATTCTCTAAAGGTTGTTTTCAGTTTGAGTTGACCTTTTGAACCGTTCACTCAGCGCACAATATTATTAGACCCTTATAATTTATTATTTATTATGTTGTATGATCATTCATGGTCCTTCTGGATGCTCCTATTGAAGATGCTGTTGCCCTTGTCCTTCATGTTGTACAGTCTGTGTGGACCAATGTGCTCTTGTCTCTTAATTTATAAATTTCACACCATTGTCTAGTCTTGCAACATGTTTTATTGAGTTTTGTTGGATGCAGGTTTACAGAACGGATTGTAAAATTGGAACCTCCAAATTGATCACTGCATCAACTTTTGTACAGTTCCAAATGTGTTTTCTTTTTCTTGTCTCTCTGGCAGATTCGACATAGCATGATAGAAGGCGAGAATGGAGAGAAAACCGTTCACACTTTAATTAAGTCCTACGATGAGGTACAGTCCAGTTAATGAGCACCCATTTGTTCGGTCTTTAAGAACGATTATTTTTGTTTGAAGGAGGCATGAGCTGATGTTTTTCTCTGAACGTGTTTCTTTGAATGATATTTGCCGTGTAACACATGTTGCCTCATAAAATTTTAAAGAAACAGATGTGACAGCTTAGCCTCACGAGTTATAAATAGACAGCCTTTTGTCCAAATCCATAGGTCAAGGCTCTGTTGCCAGCATATCACTTCTCAGTCATGTTCCTTCTGAGAGAGATTGCACAAAAAACACTCTGAACTGCTGAGAAAGCAGTCCCCTTTATTGTCCCTCTTCTTGTTAGTAAAGTCTCAATATGTTCACTGCACATTTCTGTCACGGAGCATTTAATTTCTTTAAATGCTGCACATCACGTACTCTCCTTGGCTTGTTGCAAATGCTTTTGGGTCCTGTATGAGATTCAGAGACATTGATATATTATGCGCCCTTTCCCCTCCTTTGCTTTGTTATGCCCTGTTCTATCATTTGCTAATCCGAGCCAGTATCTCTGTCCCAGGCTGAATGAGGATCCCATATGACTGGTGGCAAGGATGGCTGTTTTTTCTTTAGAGCCTTTACAGTTGAAACAATAATGTAAGCAGCAGCAAAACTATGTTTAATTTAAAATTCAATGAGTATCCTACAGCACGTGATGCATTGTTTACACTGACGCTCATTTAACTTTAGTTTAAATCCGTGGCACGAATCACAAGAGACGTTGGATAAAGGAGGCCCTTCTGTTCATTTGATCTATTGTAGCAGAATACCCACCCTGCCCTCGCCCCACAAGCTATTTCTTTTCAATGGACCAGATTTTCACTGCCACATTGTTAAGTCTCAATTTGTGCCACTGAGTGAGACGGCATTGTTACAAATCCATTGCAAAAGGCGTCAAGAGAAAGTGATTTGGAGATTCAGTATTAAATAAGTTGCAAATGAATAAAAATGTTATAAATAAATATAAAATGCTAGGAATATTATATATTATAAAATAACTTGTGTTTGTAGAGGTACATCGATAAAGGAATTCGGACATATACATGGACTCCAGTCAACGGCACAGATTACAGGTAACAGCATAAGAGGGCACAATCCCTTTCCAATCTCCTGTTCTTGCCGTATTTAAGGAGCAGCTTGTTTCAATTGAGTTGTTTCAGGATTGGGAAAAGCCACACATTACTCATGTTTGGAAATCAAATCAAAACCCCTCTCTTGTGGCTTATAACACAAACTTGAGGAACTTCTTCCCAGTTGCAAATTACGATAGTTCCACTGCTGAAAGCAATAATAATAACCCCTGCATGTGATAAAGAGCCTTTCAGTTTCGGAACGCATCTCAAAATGCTTTGCCGCTTTCCCAAGGGCCCGATGGCCACAAATGCACATTAACTAAGCTTTACATTATATGCTATGAAGCGCTTTAAGACTTCCTGCTGATGTGAAAGGTGCTACATCAAATGCAAGTTTTCCATTTTCAGAAAGTTTCCCTTTTTGTAATAGCACAAAAAAAGTCTTCCCAAATTAATCCCAAGTTCTGGTAACAATTATTAAGGTCTCATTAAAATGATTCCCCCCCCATCCCCTCCCCCCGAATAATTTGCCCTAGAAGTTAGGAATCATCAAATTCAATTTCACAAAATCAACGTCTGCAAAAGAATTAAGAGTAAATATTTATGTCTGTAACTGGTTAAGAAGGTATCATGATATCGTCAGTAGAGAAAGAACGAGAGAAATAGCAGAGAAAATTAATCTGGAAAATCGTGGTGAGAGAGGGAAGATTAAATCTTTGAGCCAAGGGTACTTTATCTGTTTGACATTTTAGCTTTATGTGTTAATTTCCCTCTTTGCTTTCGTTGCAAACCAATCGCCCTGATCATGTCATCAGCCCTCACCTTTCTGTTAAATATAAAGAGAGATTAATACCTCGTGTGATTTGATAATTGCCATTGGTGATAATGAAGACATTGCTGAAAATTTGCAACCTTACCAGTCGATAAAAATAATGATAATAATCTTTACATTTGATATAGCACCTCTCACATCAGAAGGACATCTCAAAGCGCTTCATAGCATATACTGGAAAATTATTGTGTATTTTGCTGGGGAAGACAGCAGCCAATTAGTGCACTGCAATGCCCTGCAAACAGCCATGAAGTGGCTAATAAATAAATACTAGCCACCTGCTGTAAATTATTTCTCTCTGTAGTGAGGGTTTCACTGGCCTGCTCTGCATCTGACTCGGAGGTTCCTGATAACTGCCCAGTACATAGAACACTATCCAAAAAGTGTCAGTGCTGTCTTTAACAGGGTAAATAGACCCCCTGAAATCTCTGTGGAATGAGTGTAAAATGTGTAAAACAAGGGAAATGATCAGAAGGCAGCAATGTACTTTGCTTCTTTAATTGCAGTGTTATGGTGCTGCAACAACAATAACTTGCATTTATATAGTGCCCCTCACGCAGGATAGAGTCCCATTGCCCTTGAAACAACTTGCATTTATGTAGCACCTTCCATGTTATGGTAATGCCTAGGAGCGTTTACAGTGCCTGGGATCGACAGAGAATGTGGTGGTGGTGGCAAGGGAAAGTGACCTTAGGCATGATCAAAGAGATAAGTTTTAAGGTGTTCCTGAGGTAAGTGGCATAGAAAAGGAAAGTTTGGCCATCGCTGGTAGCACTTGTACACATCAGGGAGAAGGGAGTAGAAGAGTACAGGAGATGGAAATAGGTGGGGTAGACACTTATGCAGAGTTTAAACTCTAACATGGACTATTTAGGCTGATTGGCTTATTTCCATGTTGAATCATTCCATGTAATTCGATATAATTATGTGATCGCTGAGGAAGGCAAACCAACACTGCAGGAGCGAACCAAACGGAGTCCGATCATCACATTCCTGTGGGTTTTCCCAGAATATTCTCTCAAACAGATGTTTAATTGCTGAAGAATTATATCCCTGGTGTCAGGGGTTGGAAAGGTTCCTGATGTATGGTGGGATGTGTTTATCATGACCTCCCCTTTAAGAAGGCATCAGAAATAAAGTACTTTGCAAATAAAATAAAATCAAAAACTGGAAGTAATATTTTATTTTGGCACCAACGACATTTACTTAAAGGTTTTCATCTTAACATAAATGTTTTTGCGCTAATTGTTTCTGACGGGGAGCTGTGTCCATCTGGTCCGTCACATTACCCGTTGTAAAACGGCTTGTCTGTGGGGCTCCCTGAGGTTTTGGTCATCTGTGGGGCTTGGAATGGGCCTGTGCCCCTGTGGAAGCTTGTTTTGAAATTCTCTCCCCTCCTGCAGCTCGAGTCATTGGGATCAGCGGACTGCGGTCACCGTTCACAAGTCACTGCAGTAAAAGCCCCTTATTTTATTGCAGGGGAAGTGCCAACAATCCCAAACCGGCACTATTAAAACTTGAAACGGGCATTACGAGTGTACAGATGTTTCTATTGTATTAGTGAAGTTGAATAATATAAAACACAGCTTCCTATATTCCTAATGAAGGAATATATTTCTTATGTGCTGGCCAAGAATCTCCCAAATAAAAATTGTTCATTCATTTCATGGCTGTTTCATAATAATAATCTTTGCATTTGATATAACACCTTGTCACGTCACTGAGACGTCTCAAAGTTCTTCACATGATGTACCGTAAAATGGATTGATTGTAATTTGTGAATGAACAGTAGCCTATTGCGCACAGCAATATCCCATAAACAGCCACAGAGTGAGTGACCAATTTTATTTGGAGGATTGTTGCCCAAGGCACCAGGAGAGAGAAACTCCTTTCTCTTTTTGAATAGTTCCATGGGATCTTTAACATCCACCTGATCAGCAGCTCGTTTGCATACGTAATGTTTGTAGGACATTACTGTGCCAAATTAGCTGCTGTGTTTTGCTCATAAAATACACAGACATTGTACGTTCTGTGAAGTGTTTTGAGACATCCTCCTGATGTCAGAGGTGCTACATCAAATGTAAAGATTATTTATTATTAATTATTGTTAGAAACGGCGTTATCTGATGAGAGGTTTTCACAATTCTGAGGGGTTTTGATAAGGTAAATAGGAAATAACTATTTTCACTGGTTGGTAACCAGAGGGTATACATTTAAGATCATTACCAAAAAAACACAAAGAATGAATTTATTTTTACACACATGCACACAGAGGTATCAGTTAGTGCATGGAACCTCTTCACACAGTGGGTGGTGAGAATGTAGAACTCGCTGCTGGAAACTGTGGTGGAAGCAGAAAGCATTAACGAATTTAACAGGAAACTTGATACATACACAAAGGGATTAGAGGGCTGTAGGAGAGGTAATTAGAAGGGGTGTAGTATAATAGAGTAGCTGAATGGCCTGTTTCTGTGCCATAACTCTATTCTGCAAAATAATTCTGTGTAAATGTACAGCTCTTTCAGAGGGCCAACATCAAACTGCTTCCTTCTGTGCAATAAAAAATTTATATTTTTTTCCCTTTAAATATTCCCACACCATTCTCTGTGGGACTGTTCTTTTATGTGCACCTCTGTGGAATGGTTTGCCGGCACATCAGTGAGCCGCTCTAGCAGACCTAAAAATGGTAGCCGTTGCATTTCCTCTCCAAGAAACATGGTCCAAAATTCTCCCTTTATGAAGTGTGTAAGATCCGAAGCCAAAGGTGGTTCTCCTGATCACTTCTCCTGTTTTTTCCCCTATTCTCCAAACTACAAAATACATACTTTATAGTATATCCAGTGGAGCGCTTTGAGATGTCCTTCCCAACGTGAAAAATGCTATACCGAAAACAGAGATAATTTAAATCCTCATCAACAAGTTGCACAATTCCATCAGTTGTTTTGTTCCTGACCATTTTCTCCTCTACCCAGTTTCTCTGCTGGAGATGCCCAAACAACAACAACAAGATTCCATTTATAAAGCGCCTTTCACGTCAGGAGGACGTCCCAAGGCGCTGCACAGTTGGGTCATGACCCGAGCAGGGGGGAAATGGTCAGGGTGAGGGGAGGGGAGGGAGCGAGGAGGGGGGAAATGGTCAGGGTGAGGGGAGGGATGGGAGGGAGCGAGAAGGGGGAAGAGAGTCGAGAGGGGAGCTGAAGGCTCGGTCAAAGAGAAAGGTTTTGAGACCGGCCTTGAAGGAGGAAAGGGAGGAAGCAAGGCGAAGGCACTGGGGGATAGAGTTCCAGAGCCTCGGGGCTGAGAGGCTGAAGGCCCGACCGCCAATGGTAGGGCGATTGGGGCGGGGGACGTGGAGCAGTCCGGAGCCAGAGGAACGGAGGGTACGGGCAGGTAGGTAGGGGGATAGTAGGTTGGAGAGGTAGGAGGGAGCAAGGCCGTGAATGGCCTTGTAGGTGAGGATGAGGATCTTGAAATCAATCCTCTGGGGGATGGGGAGCCAGTGGAGGCGAGCGAGGGTGGGAGTGATGTGGTCCCGAAGCCTGGTGCGGGACAGTACACGAGCTGCAGAGTTCTGAATGACCTGCAGCTTGTGGAGGGAGGTGGCGGGAAGGCCGGCGAGGAGAGAGTTCCCATAGTCCAGTCTTGAGGTGACAAAGGCGTGAACCAGGGTTTCAGCAGCGTGAGGGGTGAGGTAGTGCCGTAGTCTGGCGATGTTCCGGAGGTGATGGAAGGCGGTGCCAGTTGTGGTGCGGATGTGAGGGAGAAAGGACAGCTCAGGGTCGAACAAAACGCCGAGGTTCCTGACTGGCTTTGAGAGGTGGAGAGTGCAGCCTTGGATGCTGATGGTGTCGGCGCCTGAGGTGCGGAGGCGCTGACGCGAACCAATCAGGAGGGCCTCGGTTTTTCGCACGTTGAGCTGAAGAAAGTTGTCTCTCGTCCAGGACTCGATGTCGGACAGGCAGCTGTCAGGACATCGGTGGTCATGGAGTTGAGAGTAGAGGAGGAAAGGTAGAGTTGGGTGTCATCCGCATACATGTGGAAGTTAACTCCATGTCTGCGGATGATGTCACCAAGGGGGAGCATATAGAGGGTGAAGAGGAGGGGACCGAGGACAGAGCCCTGAGGGACTCCACATGAGACAGTACGGGGGGTGGAGGAGAAGCCATTCGTCGAGACAAAGTGAAGACGGTGGGAAAGGTACGACCTAAACCATTCAAGGACAGTGCCTTGAAGGTTGAGGTGGGAGGACAAGCGGTGGAGTAGGATAGCGTGGTCGACCGTATCGAATGCTGCCGATAGGTCGAGGAGGACGAGGAGGCAGAGGGAGCCCTGGTCACAGATGGTCAGGATATCATTGGTGACCTTGACCAGGGCAGTTTCTGTGCTATGGGCAGCACGGAAACCTGACTGAAGGGGTTCGAAAAGGGGAACTGATGACTTATTCGATGTTTGAATCTTGCAGTGAGCAGCTTGGCCAGAGGAGGAGTGGGTGGGGGCATCATAGCCACGCCTGATCCAGTCCTATCTTGATATCCATTCACAGTGAAGAACAGATGGCTTTTCCCTAACTTTGCCCAGAGGCATTGAGGCTACTTGTACTGTGGTTCAGCTAATTTGGTGCAGGCCTGGATTTGAATCTGTAATCTGGTCTGTGTAGTTATTGTTGCAGTAAGTAGTGGTTTCAGCCACCAGACCATAAGAGGAGTGCTTATGTTTTTATTACAAAGCTCGGTTTGTGTATGAATTTCCAATAAGTACTTTAAAATTGGAATTGCTTACCTTTCCTTTCTTAGCTTGGCATCGGTTCTGCCACCCTCCAGTACTTACTACATCAAAGCCAAGCTAGAAGAAGCCATTACCCAGGCAAAACGTAAGTATTGGGTAGGTCAGGTTGCATCCTCTCTTAGCAACGCATGCTGGAAACGCATAAAAAAGTATTGCTTACGTAAAGGAACCTTTAAAGAGTCTTTAAAGTTAAACTTGTTTCTGGAAGTTTGTTAAACAGTAAGAAGCAGGTTGCCAGGTAGATGTCCTTCATAGTGTGGCGCAATGATTCTAAAGCACTCAAGAAACAAACATGCAAGGGCTAAAACAAAAGCATGCTTTGGACTTGTAAAAGTGCCTTAGTTTTCCTTTTGTCAGAGTTGTGCTACTAAATATACACAATCTCCCTTGTCATGTCATTTTAGAATCATTGTACAGCTGTACCTTCTGGTTCTGTGACCCCGTTAAAAGATTCTGTTCGTGGCTTACAATTCACGTAGAGCATTTTTCCGTGCGACTGTGCGAATAATCCACAGTATGAAGTCGAGACGAAACAAACTGCATTCACCGGTTGGACCCACTGCATTTTAAAAACAGGATGCATTGCTTCCCGCAGTTGGCTTCTTTAAATTTGATTATAATGTGCAACTGCTGGAAATTTTCCAGATGAATAAACACCATATGGAAGTAATACAAGTCTCACTCACTCTCATTGTGCTAAGTTGGTTGTGCTATTTTACCATGGCATATATAACATTTTTTTACATTTGACAAGAGTTGCAGTGGCAACAAAAATAATTTGCCTGCATGTGTGGTAGCCTAAACATATTTCTTAGTCTGGATGGCTCAGTCTAAGCATGTGCTAATTGTGCCGATACAGTTAATGCTCTTTTATTCTTTTTTAAATGACTTATTTATAAGGAAGAAGATCAGTTGTCCATGGGAGCTCAAGGTCCCTCAATGCCATTCTTGAATAAACTAAGAGATCTGGTAACAGAAGCATGTTAACAATGAAACATTATCATTAGAAATTATCCAGCTTTTAAGAGTTAGGAATACAGTTAATAGATTGGGGATCAAACCTTGAGCCTAACAAACTATTGATAGTTTCTATCATGCCTTTCATGTTGGGAACGATTCTCAAAGTGCTTCACACTGCTGTCTGGGCACCTGAGATGGAAGGGAGTTAGAGTTGAAAAGGTAGGAAGGGAAAGATGTAAGTGTATTGAGGCGGACTTGAAAGTGGTGAGGGAGGGACGGAGTGAATCAGATGGTAACATTGAGCTGCGAGGATCATCACAAATTATAATAACACTTGCATTTGATATAACGCTTTTCGCTTGAGGAAAATGTATCAAAGCGTTTCACAGGATTTACTACGAAGTTTAGTGACCGAGTTGTGCATGCAAATTCGCACAATTTGCACACAGGAATGTTCCACCAACAACCTCAAAGTGAATGATCAGTTTAAAAGATTGTTAGCCAGGACACCGGGAGAATCTTGCTTCTCTTCTGGAATAGTGGATTTTTAAAGTCCGCCCAAACAGGCCTTGCTCTCTTCGGACAATACAGTTCTTCCCAGCACTGCCCAATGTATGCCAAAATAATGAGCTGAACATGGTGAATCAGAGATCAGAATAGATTCTACACTCTACTTTCTGCCAGACTGTTCCATAGCTAGGAAGTGGGTGGACCTGTGGGCTGGGTGATCATTTTATAGTGAAATTTGATACAAGATTAAAGCCTACGACCCCCAAAAACACCAAGATAACAATAGAGATGCTTGACTTTAGGAATGCTATCTCTGAACCTTTCAAAGCGTGCTTGAGGGAGGATTGAGTGGGAAACAGAATACAAATACAAAATTACATTTGTGTAGCGTCTTTCAAGGGAATGTGGGATGGAGTTCCATAGGGTGGGAGCAGAAAGGCTGAAAGCCCAGCAGCCGATAGTGGAACTAGAAAATAAAATGCGAAAATGATTAAGGACATTAAAATGGAACAAAATGATGGATAGTGATAATTTGGAAAGAAGGAAAAATTGATGAGGACCAGGAGGTACATAAAAGGCAGATGAGGTTAAATAAAAATCAAAGTAGAGGAAGTAAGAGAGCAATAGAAAAGCAGACTGCAGAAGGTGGGAACCTAAAGCAGTTTTCGCTATGGCTACTAGCCATAGTCTGTGTGTTAATATTGTTCAGAAGGGAGTATATCTGCAGAAGAAATATGACTGAACATATCTCACCAGATGTGAGAGGAACAAAGTATTTTGAGACATTTCGATGTTTTAGGTTCTATAGAAATGCAAGTTCTTTCTTCGTTATAGGTTTTTAAAAAGTATTGTAGCGAAGATTTAGCAGGTTGAAAGATAGTAAATGGGTTAAGTAGATTTTTCACATCAGTTTTCACAAATGATCATATTCCAAATCCAGTTGCTTTGTTTTAACACAGTGGGGGTCAGTGGAGCACGAGCTTATGAAGAAACTGAGAAAATTAAATGAATGCAATTCAAGTAGGACACACTCCAGAATCCTTAAGGAAATCTGAAAGGCAATAGGTGTGGCTCTAAGTTAATAACTGCAGGAGCTCTGTAAACACTGAATGTAGGGCTGGAGAACAAATCTTACTTCAAAGTGAGTGAGACGTGAGCTTGAAAATCATGTCTAGTTAGTCTAAGGCCCGTTGAGGAAAAAATGTTTCAGAGCTATAAAGAATTGTCTGTTAACAACAGAATGCTCTTTAATTCTGTAATGATTAATTGAGCACATCCTTGCCAGGTTCCACTAGCCCCCTATTCCCGAATGGATTGACTTCAAGAGCCTTGTTCTCAACTTCAGATGCCTTCATGCATCCCTTACCTCTACAATCGCCTCCAGTCCCACTCACCCACCCACCCACTCCTTGGAGACTTTATCCTAAGGTGAAAGGTGCTATATAAGCATAAATTATTGTTTAGAAATAATAGGATGCAATTTGCAGCAGTTCATAATGTGTTCCTTGTGCTAAATATCACAAGGAAGCTTTCATGAAATGTCACTGTGTTCATCCCCGAAGCCATTCCTTTACAAATCTACTTAAATTGATACAATAATACTTGGGTTTGATATACAGTTGTGCGTTTTTACATTGAAATGTTTCAATGTACTTCACACATTGTGTAGCTTTGGGGGCTTAGCGATTGTGGGTCTGGAGGCAAATGTAGAAGCTGATGTGTATGAGACACGTCATACAAAAAGCAGTGGGATCTAATGACTGATTAACGTGTTAGTGAGTTTGGTTGTGTGAAGAAATATTGGCTAACAGACTGGGAGAATTCCCTGATCATCCTCAAACTAAAGCCATAGGGTCTTGAAAGATGGCTCTGGGTGTCGCAGGCTGCTCAGTAATGCTGCAAACACTACACTGACACTGCAGATCAGCGAAAGCATCAGAAATCCAAAGCTCTGTTTATAATAGGGCCCATTCCAAGTTGAACCACCTCGAGTTCTAACCTAAACTCCCTGGAAATCTTGTGCTTGTAACCATTTGTTTCTTTGCTATGTAGGCACGTGAGCTTCTGAAGGGCTGAGATTAAATTTTTTAAAAATTAAACCTTTGAGACTTGCAGGAACATTTTGGCCAACGCCTGAGGAAAGGCATCAACAAATTGAAGCGTTCACATCCAAATACAATAAAAGGTCATAGTTTGTAACTTGAATCAAGAGACATTTACACATATGCTATGTTTTGCAATACAGTATCCATTTATTGATGGAATCTTTTCAGAAACTATTTGAATGAAAATATTTTTTTCAGAAGCCAAATGTCCTTCACTTCTCAAAGGGTTTATAGTGCTTCATTTCATACATAAATAATTGGCATGAAGCCTCAGATTTGGGCTTTAGATACACTTAGACTTGTGTTACACTTATGTGGAGATACATTGGCTGCTTCCAGCACAGATCTTTTAAACGTCACACTCTCCAGAAGGTAACATAATGGTGATCACATGCAGTTTCCAGTCTTTAAGCAAGTGTGTCTTTTTTTCAGACTTTACTGTGCATTAAGTCTCCCAGTATAGCACAATATTTTTATTCAAGCACTCGTTGAATAAAATATTGTTTATAACCCCTTCTACTTGACCCTTTTTCCTGTTCCCTGCTTTCTCTATCTGATGGATTCTGACAGCCAAATACAAGGGCAAGTATCTTTTTGTTGGTCAATTTCCTCATTGTATTGTCTTTAGATTATACTGTAATGCACCAGTGTTCTTATCCCTGTTGGATATTTTCCTGTGTTTATCGTATCTTAGTTATACCTATTAGTTCTTGGTGTTCATTATCATTACATTAATAGCTTTAGCTTACTTCTGTTTCACAGATTACTGCTTGTTGTCTGCCTGTTTTCTATAACATTGCACTATGTGATAGAAATGGTTGCTGAATATTTATGTCCACTGTTTTAGTAAAAGGATGTTCTTTTCAAGCTGTTCCATGTCAGGGTCTGCAGACCTGAAGAGTGCAAGTAGAAGAAATAATGAGCATCTCAACAATTGTTTTCTTTTCAGACTTAGAATCAATAATGCCTGATAACTTCGACACTTCAGGATATGTGTATGTCGCACCAAGGTAGCTCAGTTTTGTGTTTTGTTGTGAGAGTGTGTGTAAAGCATGACTGTGGTTTGGTGTTTCTTTTAAAAATATATACTATTTTCTGTGAGCTGGGTATTTGTGGCGATAGATTAACCGCTTATTAAGTTGTCCGGACTGGTGCCAACTACAGCAGATCTCAGTATTTTTTGGCAGGAATTCAGGGAATATGTTTAAACACATCTTCGAGTGAGAACTTGCCTTTTTGACCTGGTTCTCACCCATCCGTTACCAACTCCAGATGACAGTTGCAGATCCCAAAGTATGAAAACATGTCTATTTATCATGAGCAAGGCTTCAAATCATATTTTCCAAAGAGGCCCTTCTCTCAGTTGATGCCTCAATATTTTCAATGGATCATTAATTCCCATGTTTAATACAGTTGGACCTTGCTATAATGTTATATTTTAGAGTGGCTGCAAGTCAGCATTTCTGGTCCGGATGCAAGGATTCCTGAGCAATGGAAGCATTTCCATTCAACCTCTGATCCATAGTGTAACCACATTATACATGCTTTGTCTCTAGCAGACAAGCACTCGAAAGACCACCAGTTTGAATCCCCTTTGTGTTGTGCAAAACCTGAAGCACTTTTCAGTATTTGTGACTGTAATTAATAATAATAATAATAATAATCCTTGCAGTTGATATAGCGCTTTTCACATCTTCTAGACGTCCCAAAGCGCTTCACAGAATATAGTGTAAAGTGAATTGACTGTATATTTGTGGGCGAACGTGGCAGCCAATTGCGCACAGCAATGTCCCACAAACAGTCGTGGATTGAAAATGACCAATTTATAATTTTTTTTGGTGGAGGGATTATTATTAGGTGTGTGGAGTAAGGAAACTTGCCCAAGGGTTCGCTCTGCCTGGAATTGAACCCAGGTGTCTCACTTGCAAGGCGAGTGCTCTAACCACTGAGCTACAGGACTCCACAATTAACTCAAATGTATGCCATCTGTTTTCAGTGCACAAAATTTTAATTCATAAACATGTCACGTTTTTAACATACAGTTGGTTAATACATGCGTGTTAACATTAATGTTAAAAGTAGCCATTGATCACCATACATACTGACATGCAGTCTTTGCAATCATAGAAATGACCTGCTGTGATGTGTTGATTAATACCTCGGGTACTAAATGAACCATGTATTGAAATTGGTGACCTTATGATAATTAGCAAATTGACTGGTTCTTTGGTGTACCCCCCAAATCCTTCATAATATTCATACAGGGAAGTCAATCACACCACATATTGGATTGATCGTTGGTGAGGCACTGGCTTTATTGTAAAGTCTTTGCTTAGTTAAGCTTAATCTTTGCTATTAAGAAAACAAATGTGAGGAATTAACGCAAATGGGGAGAAGGGTAACAAAAAAATGAGCGTAAAAAGAAATAAAGGAAGAAAGTAGAAATGAACTTTGAAGAGCATTAATTCTGGGTAATGACAATAATAATAATAATCCTTGTCTTATAAGATCATTGAGCTGTCTCTATGTGCTTCACAGGATATACTGTGAAGTGGTATGACTGTATTTTACTCATATCGCTTTACAGGTCGATATCTTGGTCAAGTTTCCTTACTCTACAAGCTTGATAATAATGTCTCAAGAAAAAAAAACAATAATAAAATTGGTCACCTCGATCCACGACTGTTTGTGGGACACTGCTGTGCGCAATTGGCTGCCGCATGTCGCCCACAAATATACAGTCCAATTCACTTTACAGTATATTCTGTGAAACGCTTTGAGACGTCTAGAAGAAGTGAAAGGCGCTATATCAAATGCAAGGATTATTCTTATTATATTATTTTGTGGGATAGCCAGGGTTTTAAAAAAAATTGCAGACCTTTGTTTATTTGGTGCCATAATTCAGAGTAGATTTTCACTGACTCCATAAATGAAGTGAAGAATTCTCAAGTCAAGGTGAAGGAGTGGGATGTCCACGTCTATTTGGGTGAGAGCGAATTTCATGCTTAATTTGAGTTATTAGGGTGTTAAACGAAGCACAGCAATTTTGATTCAGGCAAATAAAATTTGTCTTAGGAAACTAGGAGAGCGCAATAAAGAGCCACATAAAGGTGATGTTCAGTAAATTCTAAATATTACAGCGTAAAGCAAAATATCCTTCACAACACAAATCAGCCAAGAGTCTATAATTCAGAATCTGGTTCAGAAATTGATCTCTTGTGTGAGACACAGTAATTGACAGCTTCCGTTGCTATTCATAGTACAACTGAGCCTATTGACAGCACATGCCATGCTGTGGGTATCGCAGAAACAGAGTAATCTGTGGCTTGCATTCACGGATTTCATCATTAAATACTCAATAAACCACTGAAACAACCTCATTATTTCCTGTAAGTGTCTACCAATTATTGTGGTTAGACGAGGCACCAAGTAATGGAACTCTTTAGACTGACAGAAATGTCACAAAGGAGCTGGGAAGAAAGAATGTTTTTTTTATTGTGGCTGATAATACTTGTGTGATATGATCATTGTCACGTTGAGAGAAGATGTAGTTAAAATTTAAACTGGTTTCTGGTGAAGCCACATTGACATTGATATATTCGACTTATTCAAATATTATACAAAGTAGATAATAATAGATTTCTTTTCGAAAATAATATTGTGAGATACAGTGCATGAATAATGTGAGACATGACATATAGTAAGTGTAGTATGCTTGGAAGAACCAGGCAACTTTGGATTGAAGGTTCCCCAAACTTTCCACTCTGTTGTAGGCTAACAGAGTAACATTTTTCGTCTAACAATTCCTATGTTCCTATGAAATGCAACTCCTGTGGTCAGGACTACATGCAGACCCCCTAAGCCTTGCTGGCAATGTATTCTGATATTAATGCTCTAGAGCCAAAGCACTTGGAGGGGATATCAGTTGCCAAATCTTGAGTTAAGGATAGCTATTAAGGGCATTCATATTGGCGGGAGCTCTTCAAAACTCTTCATCACAGCTGTCTGGACACCCACTGGATAGTTAAAAGTGGCAGAGGGCTTGTTTTTATTTTTAGTTGGGAGAATTGACTTGTTAATCTAAAATATTTAATTTTTAAAATGTTTTGAGGCAACAATCCGGTGAAGTTTGAAATCCGCTTCCTCTGTGGCCAGATTGCAAACATTTGATCCCAACGATTCTCCTCCTGAATGCTAAACAGCAACCTCTGCTGTGAAGTTTGCCCGTCTGTGTGTATTGAATGTAAAATAGGATTGGCTTCAGCTGTGAACTGTCCTTCAAAGTGTAATTGACAAACCTGCTGTCGCTCACTATCATATGTGAAGAATGTCACTCTAGCTCCTAACACACGTGAAACTTCACCTCACTGCCTTCAGGAGAGAGGGAGGGAAAATGCATACAATAAGAATGATACAGCAAGGAAACCGTCTAGTCCAACTAGTCTGTGCCAGGAAAAGAAAACCATAGGAGAAGACTGGCTAGGATTTGAATCCTGGATTTCCAGCTTACATGACAGGTGCCTTGGCACGATGTCCAGAAAGTTCAGTGTGGGATCCAAGTCCTTCCCCCCCTCCCATGCTAGCCAAGCCTTTTAAATTAATCTGAATATTGGAAAAATATGCTTCAGTGAATGGTCACAGAATCACAAGAACTGAAGAGATACACTGAAGGATGGGAGTTGGAGAAGGTGGGGTGCTGTTAACAATGGGAAGGTCCACCTTGTTTCTCAAATTGCCAGAGGTAAAACAGCACTCGTTCAAGACAAAATGTCAGTTGCCAACAGAGAGTTGTGAGCCTGATTGCTGTTGGCACCATTTGAGCACCTTTTGGGCAGGGGATCTGCCAGTTTCACATTCTTATCAATGACATCCGCGTGTGTGTGTGTGCTTGTGTCTTTGTTATATAAATGTTTTTATTCTGTATGCTGCGTACAGCAGAACATCAGAACGTGCTAACAATCATATCGCCTTCATACCATAACTATACTATATGCCACAGTCCCATTATACGCCTTTTCATGTTGGCGGAAGTGATTTAATGTAGAAAGACTGGTTTAGTGTGTGTGTGTGTGTGTTAACCATGCGTTTCAGGGAATACTGCAATGGACTGACTCCATCAAACAATAATACAGCATTCCTGGAGAGCTTCATTCATCTCATCGATCGGCAAACCCCCAATTCACCAAACTGTGAGTATCATTTCTCAGCAAAAGAATTATGTCCCCCTTTGTATCAGAATTCTTCCCCTCTTGTGTATTGGATCCAATGAGTTGGAATTGCTCCAACTATCTCATCGACTCGCAGGCAGACATTTGACCTTCTCTGATCAAAAGGAGTCAGGTATATTTGTGAATGTTCCTTATGACTTTTATTTGCTATTTGAACCCAAGGAGGACTCATGGTATTAGTGTTAACATTATTTCCTTAAAATTTAAGATCTTTCAAATGTTGGAGTTTCTTCAATTTCATGTCAATTTGTAAACCAGTTCTCCAAAAGTCCTCTGGAAATTGACTTTCAACTTGAATTCGAATTAAGATTATTCCAAGGATTATCTTAATTCTAAGGCTAGGGCAATAGGATTTCAACCCTCTAAATGTATTGAATTAGTGCATTGAATGACCAAATTATTATCATTTAAATTGTTGATCAACTAACTGGGAACAGATTGGGTTTTGAACCTATGAGCATATAGGCATAGACATAGTCACTTCATACCAAAATCATACATAGATGGAATTACCAGTCATTTAGGTTTGGATCTTAATTGTGGCAATGAGTTTCCACATATGACAGATGCTAGGTTGACCAAAAAAAAATTTGTTGATTCAGATTCTTTATTAAACAATCCAGTGCAGTATTAGATCCCATTCTGCCTGGAGAAATCCATGTCCCACACACATTTCAATCCTTGCATTTATCATAGCACGTTGTCACAACATCTCAAAGCGTTTGCAGGATTTTAGTGTATAGTGCCCGTATTTGTAGGTGAACAAAGCTGCGAATTTGCCCACAACCTACCGTAAACAATCATGTAACGAATGACCAATTTCATTTGATTGTTGGTAAGGGCATTGGGAAAAAAAACACGTTTGAATAGTGCCGTGGGATCTTTACATCTACTTGAGCAGGCAGTCAGGACCTTGGTTTAATGTTTCAGCTGAAGAATAGCACCTCCGACAATAATAATAATAATAATAATAATAATGCAGCACTCTATTGGAGTGTCAGTCTTCACTATGAATTCCAAGGCCAGCATGAGGCTTGAATCCATATCCTTCTGATTCAGAGGCAAGAGTGCCACGCGTGTCCGTGTCCCACACATTGCTGTTAAACACACATGGAATTTTTGGTATGATTTACTGCATTCTGGCCTGCTTCTAGCACCTCACCCACGTTCTACTCTTCAATTGTAACCCCATACAGTTTGTTGGCAAGTGATATAACCATGGGAGGCATTACAGCTGAGCTTAATCCTACCCTTATTTTGTGTTCATCGTGCACATTATCCTGCAGGATGTATTGGATAGTAATCAGGAGCAGAAACCACTGCTGATTTTTTCCTTGTCCTCCCTCAGGAGGCGATCAACTAAATCAATGTTAAACAAGGATTGAACCCTGTCTTTATGTAAAGATTATTCCTATGCCACATGCTGCATTTATTTGCCTATCCTTGAGGATCTCCATAAATCATAATAAATAAAGGTTAATCTCCGCTTAACCTTTAGGATTTGCCTATTTAAAAAGATGATCTATTGAAACATGGATTGAAGAAAATAGGATGAAATAGAATAAAACAAGCTTATATTTGTTATAATGTAAATATGAAGCCCTGTAATTTACTATTTATCAAACAACTTGTTTCTTCTAACATGTTCTACCCAGTTTATTTTGATAATAATCCTACAACAATACTTGCATCTAGCCCTTCCCCCCCACATAGTGAAACAGCTCCACGCACCACCTCAATTCTCCAGGAGATGTATAAAAATAATATAATAATTCTTACATTTAATATAGCGCCTTGTCACGTGGACAAGAAACCTTAAAGCACTTCACAGAATACATTGTATATTGTGGTGTGACTGTATTTTGTGGGTGAACATAGCTTTGTGATGTAGTATAATATCAACGAAACTTCCTGAGCTATGTTGAAAAGGCAGATAGGTTGGACTGAATGGATACCTCTTTTAAAGAGCCAGCACAGACATGATGGGCTTTGGCTTCTTCTATGCTGTAAATTTCTATGGTTCCCATGTTACATAGAAACAGGCCATTCAACCCTGGCCAGTGTCCATACTCCACACTTCCTAATCCCCTCCTCTCTCTCCCTTTTCCCTTCTCCCTCATGTAGGTGCTCTGAGATGCTACTCTGTGTGGGGTGGGTGGGACTATATAAGTGCAAGTTGTTGTTGTACGCTATGTGGACAGTGGTCACAATTTCTCAGTTCGCACTTTGAAATCTCTCGCTTTTACAGTCATGTATCACCTTCCTGTTTAGTCATCCTGCTTAGAGCTGACAGTAAAGGTCAGTTCTGTCTGCAGAAATAGATTAATAAACACTTAAATGTCAAGTGCTGAAGTTGTGACTGCAATGTAACAGTGTAGGATACCATAAGAACTTTTTTTTTAAAAAAGTGAGAATTTTATTTCCTTTTTCGTGTCTGTGTCTCAGTGAGTCTGCAATAATGGTGTGACAATTGTGTGTGAGAACACTTGGTTGATAAAGGTGACTAGCTGATGTATTAACTACTGCACAAAATTACATTTGTGTAGTGCCTTTCACGTTGGGAGCGGACAGGTTGATATGGGGTCAGCAGGTCACAGAGATAGGGAGGGGCACGACCATGGAGGGGCCTTGCAAGCAAGGACGAGGATTTTGAACTCTATCCTCTAGGGGATGGGGAGCCGGGTGAGGGTAGGGGTCACGGAGCCTGGTGCGGGAGAGGACATGAGCTGCAGAGTTCTGGATGATTTGCAGCTTGTGGAGGGAAGAGTTGGCGTAGTCAAGCCTAGATGTGATGAATGTGTGATTGAGGGTTTCAGCGGCCTGAGGCAGTGGCGGAGCTGAGCAATGTTGCGGAGGTGGGAGATGGCAGAGTGGGTCATGGCAAGGACGTGGGATAGAAAGGGCAGTCACACAAGACCCAAGGTTCCGGACTGGCTCAGTGAGGTGGAGTGTGCATCCCCAGATGGTGATGCTGTCAGCGCCTGAGGTGAGGAGGCTGTGACGAAAGCCAATCAGAAGAGCTTCAGTCTTGTTGACGGTCTCATCCAGGACTTCATGTCTGACTTAATTTTGTAATTGAACTGAGGCGTGTGGAGTAAGGAAACTTGCCCAATATTAAGCCCTGCCTGGGAATCGAGCCCAGGTTCTTTTGCCTGCAAGGCAAATGCTCTAACCACTAAACTACAGGACTCCATATATAGGCTGAAAGCCTGAAGTTCATGTTCCTACCCGTTCCCACCAATGGACCACTAACAAACAGCTGTGTCAATTAGGATTTTTTTTAAAAAAGAAAGCTTCACTTGTGTTTTTATAAAACCAAAGATGGTAATGATTAATTTGCGAGAGAGCTGGAGGGAGAAACTATTATCCCAACGTTGGGGGAGAGGTTAGCTACTCAGTTCCAAACCAGCTATTAAGTGAAAACTTTTAAATGTATTTTCTGTAATATAGTTTAATTAACAGAATGCATTTCAAAATATTGTAATTTCTCTCCCTCCTCCCTCCTCCATTATCATATGATCAGAATTTCCATTCCTGTCAATGCCTGAGTCGGTGTTTCATCATTGATGAAATTTCATCCCCAGAACATGCTAGATGAAAAAAGACCAAGACCATCTAGTTCACCTTCCACCTTCCTGGGGGTCACATGCCCATATATCCCAAACTACCTATATACTAAATCCCATAATCTTATTTCCTAAAAGTAAACTATCTAATCTGTGTTTGAAAGAATCAACACTTCCTGCTTCAGGTGTCTCGCATATTCCACAGGTTCACTATTCGCTCACTGAAATAGTGTTTCCGTAGATTTTTTCAGAACTTATTCCCCCTTCAATCACAGGCCGTGTCCTCTGGTTTTACTATTCTGGATAAGTTGAAACAGCCTAGCATGATCTATGTTGTCTTGCCCCTTTAGAATCTTAAAGACAGCAATCATGTCGGCTCTCAATCTTCTCTTTTCCAGCATGAACATTACTTAGTCGCTCCTCATAATCCAGTCCTTCCATTCCCTCAATCATTTTGGTTGCCCTCTTTCTCGATTTCTCCAATCTCCTTTTTGAACTGCAGCAACCAGAACTGTACACAGTATTTTAAGTATGGCCTCAGCAATGATTTATACAGTGGCAGGATTACCCCAGTATTTCGGCTTGCTATTGATCTTTTAGAAACTTTTGGAAATAATTGGGCCCAAAGCCCCTATCGAAAGGCCTTCATTTAACATGTCATTAAAATGATTCATGCTGCTTAGCCAAATGTTGTGCACAGGGATAAATATTTTGTTTCATGTTCAGTTGGGTTTATTTAGCAGTGGAACAACTGTATTGAGCTGGCTGTTCAGTATGCAGGCTGCACTCACTCCTCTGTCCTATGCTTTGCTGTCGTCAAGGATCTGTGTGCCAAACAGCCCAAGGCGATGTGTAATCCGTTCAGTTGATTCATTGAAGACAAGGTTGCTGTTTCTGAACAATGTGCGGTGCCCTTTCTTAATGTGACAGAATGTAAAAAGACAAAGCAAAGCACCGTAACAAAGAGTGGAAGAACCAAGGGAGCTCCGTTTAACTGAGCTGTGTGTCTCTCTGCCTTAACCAGTTAGCAGAATGTCAGGCAGTGATAACGAGGAGCAATGGGTGGGGTGGGTAGAATGCTCACTGTGTCCTAACAAAAGAAAACTAAAAATAATCATTCATATTTAACTTGTTTCACGTTTTTATAGATATACGTTGAATACTTTCATGTGCTGTCATAAAATAATATTTCTGCTTCAAAAATTGCCTGCAAATTCTGTCTCTGTTAATAGGATACTGTGCACTAAAGTTTTCTCTGTGAATCCATAGATTTCACCCATTGTATTTTTACAGCTGCACGGTTGAAAGCAATTGCGTTTATTAAAAACTACCAAGGACGTCATGCCATCAAAGTATTAAGCCAGTGCCCCCCCAGCTTGCCCCTTTCCCAATCGT